GTCATGATCCCTTGAATGATTTGAATTTGATTTCAGAGTTTTGTATGATCTTTGTTAACGAAAAGAAGTTGAAAGAAGTCCATGAAGAGCCTGAAGCACTCCACACCAAGTTATAATCTAAAACTTTGCATTGAGAGTGTAAATTTTAAAAATAAATATAAAGACTCATTGATCCCAAAGGGAAATGTAACTAATTAGTTGAATGTGTGAGCTGATCGAGCGTTGTGGGTTTTATAGCAGGCGTATCAGTGAGTCTTCACACAAGGTTCATATAAATACTGCTACAGGTGACCCTGCTGTGCAAGAACACGCTCTAAATAATCCCGTTCAATGAACGGCGGCATGCACACTCTGTGCAAGTTACTGAAGTGTTTAGGTGTTCACCACCTCGCGGTGACAGGAGGCAGGACAGGGACAGCATGAATGGTGCGTCCCCCACAGTTCAATACATCAACTACAAACCTAGCTTAGCACAGCGCTACATGTAAAACAGTTTAACAAAACCTGGAGGCAGATCATTTGTCTTGAAGATTTTCAGAGTTTGTCACACTGACACCATCAGTAAACCACCAGTAACTTCATGTTTCTGCAGACTGACGGCCTGAACACCATCTGTCTTCTAAACAACATGGGTTGATGCATCGAAGCCCAACGGTCTCAATAATCACATCAACAGGCGAGCGAACAGCCAGCACAGGTAAACAGTCCACCAGCTGTTTCAGAGTTTCTGTTTCCTTCCACTTCCTGTGAGGTTAAAGGTCAAACTGAGCCCAGCACTGAATCACATCAGAAAAACATGTGACAATGTTGGTTAATGTTGAGATAATGGTGTCATTTATATAAACAATGAAGAGTTCATGTGTTTCCACAGTAAATAGATAAACTCGTCGGTTCATCTGAACAAAGTTCTATAGAAAAAGTTGCTTCTTGCTGCTTCGGCCTTAAAACAGTTTTAATTTATTCATGACTCCAATTTGAGCTCCATTAAACAAAAGGTTTTAATTAACCTAAGGCCTTTCAGTCACAACTTATTCAAACTGGATGAAAATGTAAAAGGTTTTATTTTAAAGTGAATTTACTGCCTTGTAATAGGTGGTAAAATAAATATTTTATTTTGGGTAATTCTGTTTAACTATCTTGAGTGTTTAGTTTGCATTTGTTGCAACATAATCTTTCTATCCAACAGTGTTTTGATTTACAAAAATCATTCATCTGTTTTATCTGTTAAATTCAGGTAGAACTGGACCGGTGCTCTTTAAACCGATTCTGGATAAATTGCCATAAAAGTGTTTCTACTGGAATGTTAACAAACAGATTAAAATATACAAAGACGCACAGATTGTGCCTGAATGAATCTACACTTGCTAAGAGTGGTGAAATAAAACCAGTGAAATGGTTCAGATATGAATCCTATCTGAGCTAATATTCTCAAGCGTTCAGAATATTAGAAAAATTGCAGAAACAAATTGAAAAAGTTGGAGAATGTTCGATTGTTATTTTGTTTATAGCAGACAATCAATCAAAAAATTCAATGTAAAACTTTTAACATTTCATTACCTGCTGTATGCGGCCATCTTGTCTTCCATACACAAAGATCTGCAAAAACAGAGTCTGGGTCAGAACCAGAACCAGAGGATACATCCAGACCCAACCGCAAACCAAACAGCTCAAAGATTCATCAAATATTTCTCCTGTTTTGATTTAATGCAAATTAAAATCTACTTTATCGTATCTTTAACAAATCAGCAGCGGCTTGCTGCTCATTTTATTTCTTTATGGTCAGTTTCTCCTCCAACCTTCGTCGATTCAGACTCACTAGCTGTGGATTTAAAGTCACATTTAATGACTGCAATACAGAAATGTTGTTTTATGACTTTAAATGTGTTTATAACCTGCCTGAAACAGACTCCTCTTCAGGTGAGCATTAGCTATAAAAGCTTCTTTAAAATAATCATTAGGAAATGTTTAAAAACAACAACAATAAGAATGTAATCATTTACATCAAGGCACCAAAACTTTATTTATATATATATAGCATAATTCTGCCCTTCAGCACAGGATGTGACTCATATGGAGAAATATTACACATTAATTCATCATTGCAGACAAATTAAAACGTTATTGTTCCAGGAGAAAATGGTATGTACAACACAAAGTATGTATTTTAATAATCAGGCTTCTTCTCACGTTGTCTTCGGTCTGTCGCTAGCATCAGTTAGCCGCTAACTAGCTCCTTCATTATAAACCATGGAAACACCAGCTAGCTGCGATGCTAACTCGGCCGATAATATAAACAGCCGTTAGAGTCGCTTCACTTACTTCTCCAGCCTGTCAGAAACTTCCGACACTTCCCCGTCATCCTTACAGCCCTCCATGTTCTTGTTTTCATACAAATTAAAATCTACTTTATCGTATCTTTAACTTCTAAACGACAAATTAGCAGCTGCCTCCTCAAAGAAACTTCCTGAAAGAGATTTGATGTTTTCATGTTTGAAGCAGAGATTCTCCCCCCGCCAATTCAATACAGCCAACCAGAGAGCACGCTGTCGTGACGCAGAACTCACGTTATCCAATCGGGTGGCTATTATCCTCTGAACTCGGGTCCTGGGAGCTTGAGGGTCCTGCAGTATCTTGCACCCTGCTGTGATGTGCTGGACTGTCTCAGGGGCCTCCTTGCACAACCTACACCTTGGGTCTTGTCTGGTGTGGTAGATCTGGGCCTCTATTGCTCTGGTATTTAGGGCCTGTTCCTGGGCGGCCAGGATGAGGGCCTCTGTGCTGTCCTTGAGACCAGCTTTTTCCAGCCATTGGTAGGATTTACTGATATCAGCCACTTGGGTTATTTGCTGGTGGTACATCCCATGTAGGGGCTTGTCCTCCCATGATGGTATCTCTGGCACCTCAACCTCCGTTCCCTGTTGTCTGAGACATTCACTGAGCACATTGTCTGTGTTTATATATATATGAATAACTTTGTTGACAAAAAAAGTAACTGGATTATGAATATATTATATATGCAGCAGCTAAATCAACGACACAAAAAGCAGACAGATTCCAGAACAAAATACAAAATCAATATTAATAAAAATGTTAATAAGAGACACAGAAGAGAATAAAAATTATGAGACTGAGTGGAGGTCAAATCTCTTGACTTTATCTACTTTTTATTAAAGAAGTTGGAGCTTGTCGCTGCGGAAGGTGGCGCTGGTGAGACTCTGTGTGTCAGTCAAAGCGAAGAAGAAGACAAAAAGTAAACAGGAAGCAGTATTCCACAACAAGTTTTCTCCTTGTTTTTATGTTTTTTCTGTTAACTTGTGAGCTTTAGCCGCTGTCAACAACTTCACGTGAGACTATCAGGTTTTATTTGATCATAAATCATCAGATTTATCGATCCGTTTGGCCGCCATGTTCGGTTCCGGAGGAGCGATGAGCAACGCGCAGCTTTTCCAGCAGGTCAGAATATTAATAACCTTTAAAACTTGATATGTTCATTTCATTACGTTATTCAGAAGATAAGATCTATACTGAATAACTTTTCTCATATTTGGTGGAGTTATTATCTTTAACCTATGTTTTATTTTTACAGTAGTCCATGTTCTACTTGAATTGTCAATACTTCTTACAAAAAGATTACTAACCATATAAATATGATCTAATATTCTATTTTTAGACATATTCATCTGTATTAAACTATAAAAGGGAAAACAATCATGTAAACAAATCATTTCATACCAAGGAGTTCAACCACTGTGCTAAGATTTAAAGATTTATTTATTGTTTTTGTAGATTACAAAGCAAAAACAAATATTTCACATAAAACTTCAATAGTTCTTTATTGTTTTATCAAGACTTTATATTTCTTCCCATTTCCATCAGTTTTGGTTCTATCCGTGTTTGGGCAGTTCGCCTTTTCTAAAAATCTGTCACCTTTGACCCGTTAAAGAGTTCAGTGTTATCCCAGGTTCAGGGTCAGTTTGGGTCGGTCGGAACCAACACACAAGGTTTTCCAGACTCAGGTGTAATGTTCGTTTGTGGGCTGCAGGTGGCGCTGCTACGCTGGCTGTCCTCGCAGTCGGAGGCCGACCGGAAGCTGCTGGCAGCGGTGACGGGGGTCCAGGTGGGCCGCGAGCTGCTGAACCGGATCACCGGCCAGGACCAGGTGGACGCTTACAGGGTGTGTGTCCGGCTGCAGGAAGCTGCTGAGGTGACATGTTTCCAGTTTCCTGATTCTGGTTCTGGTTCTGTTCAGAGGGAATGCATCCTGAGCATCGCGGGTTTCCTCCAGAAGAACCCGCGGGCCTCGCAGGCCCAGATCAACGCCGAGGTGGAGAAGAACGTTCTTCTGTTCGCAGCGCGGGTCAAAGCCCTGGAATCTGCTCCCTTATTCTGACTGTCTGAACTGAACCTCAGGGCCTTTCACAATAAAAGCTTCAATTTGTGTCGCCTTTTTTCTTCTTTAAACCTTAAAACATTTTTATCTTTTACACTAAATCAAGAAATAAACAGAAGCTGTTCTTTAATAACTGGGTTTGTTTTGTTTTCCAACATTGTTTTATTTCTCTTATCTAACCGTCACCATGGAGACGGTTAGATAAGAGAACCGAGTTTCATTGATAAACTTGTTTTCATCTTCAAAATCATTTTCTGGAGTTCAATCTTTATTCTGCTCTCCAGTTACAACAGTGAAAACTGTTATTATATGCCAAACCACCAGGGGGCACTGCCAGTAGCGCAGTGACGGGGGGTTTGTACTCTATGCTGTTCGTTTCTGTGGTGGAATAAAGTTCAGCAGGTCCAAACCGAAACCAGGCCAGCAGCCAGACAGCCCTGGTTTCTGTTTGCCTCTTTAGTCCCAAAACTGAAGAATCTGAAAACTGAGCTGAACTTTGTACTCAAAGTTAAAAGTTTACGTTAATGTGGCTTTTATTTCTGACGGCAGTGGACTGTTCTTCGATTGTTGGATTTCAGTTTTAAATTTTAATAATTATGTTTAGAAGGCATTTTATTTTTCTCTCAGTATATTATTATTTAATAACCATAAATCATCAATATTTTATTACACAGAGTATGTAGCTGAAGTCACAGACCTCCATCCCATGAATCTGGAAATATTACCAGATGACAAGGTCACTTATTTAATATCTAAGCTGATTTCAGATTATCAGAAATTTTACTGGTTAAATATCAGAACCAGAACCAAATAACCAGCTGATGGTTCTGATGAATCTGTTCCAACAGAATCAAGTTTTTTTTTCTCATTTTTGATCTTCTGTTATAATAAATCAGACGATGAAGCGACTGGATGCGACGCTGACTCGGCACACAGCAGGAACCACATTCCTTCCAGAACCAGATTCTGATGAATCTGGTTAAATGTTTTACTGAGTAACAGAGAAAAGTTTCTTTTACAGTAGCAGGCTTCATGTTGTGTGCAGGTTCTGGTCCAGTCAGTGAGGTGTTTTTCACATGGTTCTGGTGGTTTTGCTGGTCCGGTCGGTGGTTCTGGTGGTCAGCCTGGCTCGCTGCCTCTGGAGAAGGAACCCAGCTGCTTGGTGTTGGCGTCCTGAAGCTGCTGCAGCTGCCGCTGGCCGCGGCGGTACAGGTACTCAATGTGCATCACGTCCGTCTTCTTGATGCGCGCGTTCTCCCGGAACTCGTCCCGGATTCTGGGCAGGAAACCCGGTTTGTCCTTCCCGGCCCGCAGGAAGTGGCGGTACAGAGCCAGGACCTGCTTCTGCAGCTTGCTGTGCCGCGACATGGCCCGGTTCTGGAGACGTTTCTAATCAGAGGGACACCGCACACATCCTGCTCCCAGCCAATCAAAGAGCTCTGAGGTCCCTGAACACAGCACCACTCTGGTTCCGGACCCTGAACGCAGCACCGCTCTGGTTCCGGACCCTGAACGCAGCACCGCTCTGGTTCCGGACCCTGAACGCAGCACCGCTCTGGTTCCGGACCCTGAACGCAGCACCGCTCTGGTTCTGGAAGCATCAGCAGGAAAACAAGAAGAAGAGATGAATTATTAATTTCAGAGATATTATTATTTGATTATTATTAATTGATTTCAATTAAATTTTCAGTTCGTTAATACAGGATATAATTTACAGAGTGAGAAAGAATTGCCTTCTATGTAGATTTATTTACATAATTGTCTGACCCTGTATCTAAATGAAGCGCACATTTTAGTTCACACTGAGTGCTGGACTCTTCGCAGCTTCACCTGGTTCTACTAACATGACTAAACTCACTGGAGAATGAAAACTTTAGCATTTTTTTATCTTTGAAATCCCACAGTAATGCTAATTAGACAAACGTCCAGGTGACTCTCAAAGAAATATTTCACCAAATAACACAATAAAATGCGCCTGAATAACACTGAAATATGAAGCAGCTTTAAACTTACAGGCTTAGTGAAGATGTTCCGATAAAAAAACAGTTAATATTTGTCCGTTAAAGGTGATAAACCTGCGGTTCAGAAGCGGCTATCTGCTGCTAGCTTCCTCTGTGACCTCATTCTGCGTTACAACACAGGATCTTAGCGAAAAACTACAAACACGTGACTTCCGGTGACGCCTTCAAAACAAACTCAGGATTCAAAAGTTTACAGAACATCACTAAACAGAACCGAAACATCCGGTTTTTGATTAATGCAATGAAATTTAAAAAACAGAAACAATTTGATTGAAACTTAATCTTGGACCGGAACCGGAAACGGGGTTCGTTTCCGGTGCGACTTTGAATGGAGCAGTGAAAGGAGCGGAGCCGGATACCAACAGGTCTGCGGTTTAATCCGTTTAGTGTTTCTGGTTCCCGTGACCCTTCAACCCCCCGTGTTGCCATGGTAACGGCAAGTTAACGAGTGCGTTCAGCTACTTCCGGTCTGGTTTCTGGTTCCTTCTGGCATCTTGGGTCGATTATGGGCTGTTTCACCATTTCTAAAGGCTAAAAGATTCCGCTTTAACATCAGACACTGAGATCAGCCGGAACCGGGCCGGAACCGAACCCCCGGACTGAAGAGACTTGCATCAACTTGGCAGGATATTATGACCTCTGACCTCTGATAGTTTGGGGTTGGAGGGTCTCAGTCATCAATAGAACATCTTGACCTGTAACTGGGTCAGAACCAGTTACAGGTCATAATGGTTTGCAATCAGAATGGTTCAATTAAGGGGTCAAAGGTCACTAAGGCTCAGTGAGGCAGACCCAGTAGAACTCCTGGTGGTTCTGTGTTTCCTCAGGGATGGAGATGACAGAGAAGGAGCGGCGGCAGGTGGAGGAGCAGGTGGAGCAGCTGCTGAGCGGCCAGGGGTCAGAGGTCACGCTGTGTGACCTGGGTCTGGAGCTGAGCAAGCCAGCGACTCTGAGGAAGAACGTGACCTACATCGTCTGCGGCGTCGTTTTCAACGAGCAGGTGAGCAAAAACCAACATGGCGGCGCCGGAAGCTTCATCCATGAACACGGCCGTTAGCATTAGCATCATTGGTGATGAGCTCAGTTATGTTGTTCACGTGTTGCTTCTTATTTAAAATATTTAAAAGTAACATCAGCTAATAAACACTAAATGCACATTAAACACCAAATTTAACAACTTAAATTTCCCCAGTAGAGTTTAAAATAAATCTTTTCTCCATGCGTAAAAGCATCCAGTCTGTTTCATTCAGTGGTTCTGCTGGTCTGTCATATTTATGTTTACAGGAGGAGGTGCTGATGGTGCAGGAGGCGAAGCCCGACTGCTACAAGCAGTGGTACCTCCCAGCAGGGCGGGTGGAGGTGGGGGAGAGCCTGCAGGAGGCGCTGCGGAGGGAGGTGAGTCCAGCCGCTCAACATGGTAACAGGAACTCAGCGCACGTCACCTGATCCTGTCGGTCTGCAGGTGAAGGAGGAGGCGGGGTTCGACTGCCAACCAATCACGTTGCTGCTGATCCAGGAACAGGGACCGCAGTGGATCCGCTTCATCTTCTTGGCCCGCATCACAGGTCAGAGGTCACGGCCGATCAGAGGGTGGGGTTCGGGTGGGCGGAGCCTGAAGGTCTGCTTCCTGTCTGTCAGGAGGAAGCATGAAGACGCTGACGGCGGCGGACCAGGAGTCTCTGCAGGCGTCCTGGTGGGACAGACAGTCCAGCCTGTCCCTCAGGGGGCGGGACATCCTGCGGCTCATCGACTACGGACTCAGGTCAGACCCAAAGGCTCCGACCAGAACCCCGGTGACCACCTGCACAGGTCAAAGGTCAGGGGCTGGTCTGGTTTCTACCCTCTGGATGGGTCAGAAGTATTCATACAAATCAGTAACCAGAATGTTCTGTGAAACGTTTGATCCAGATTAAATCGGGTCTGCCCCGTTCTGACCTCTGACCCTGCTGGCTTCAGGTACCACCGGAGCCCCTGGCACGCCGCCTCGCTGCCTCTGGACCTGAGCTGCCGCCACATCGTCCAGCGGACGCTGCTGCTGTTCGTCGGCGCTGAGAAGCGGGTCTGGATCCTGCTGGTCCAAGGTAAACGCCCTCGGCCGTCAACATGATAACCGGACGCCATGCCGTCACTCATCTGCCCCGCTCCGCAGCCCCGACCCCCCACCTGCCCACGGCGGCGGCCCTGAAGACCCACGCCGTGACGTGGGCGGCCAACATGGCGGTGCAGGAGGCGTTGCCGGCATCGTACTACGACCACGACGTCGCCACGCTGGGCGTCCTCAGCCTGCAGCACAACGGCCGGCAGCACGGCCGCACCGACGGCGTCTGCTTCAACACGCTGGCCGCGCTGGCGCCCGACCGGCCGCAGCGGGACGAGGACGGCCTGGCGGCGGAGCGGCCGGCGCCGACCGCGCCTCCGCCGGTGGAGAACTCGCGCTACGTCTGGATGGAGGTCCAGGCGCCGGCGCTGAGGGAGGAGCTGCTGCGGCAGAGCCAGAACCCGACCCTGCTCCCGATCCAAAGCCTGTACTGACCCCACAGGAAGTGGGGTCAGTACAGGCTTTTATTCTGAAATGCAATAAGGCTGAAATGCATGAAGGCTTTTATTCTGAAATGCAATGATGGCAGGCCGACAGGCCGGGCCAAACCGGCCGGTCCGAACCCGCCGGGCCTTCAGAACCTGGTTTTAACAGAACCTGAACAGATTTGGGACGAGTTTCAGAATAAAAGCCTTGAAAATGGTCAAGCCATAAAGAGACTCCGGGTTCTGCAGGCCAAACGGGTCGGAACGGTTCTGCTCAACAGGAAAAACACACATGATGAATACGGAGGCCTGAAGGGGACAAAACAAATAAAAACAAAAAGTTTCAGCACCAGTTTTACAACAGATTTGGTTTTTTAAACATTTTAAAAGACACTCGCACTTTGATGAAAGTAACTTAAAATATGTAGCTGTTTGTTTGCACCGTTTCTTATTGATGATGTCACATTAATGATATTTTTATATTGTTTCATCCTTTAACAATAATTCAATTAAATCATTAAATATGTCATAAAATAAATAAAAGTTTAATTGATTTATGCTGTAACAAAATTCAAAATCAACATTTTCTTTTATTTTCTTACCATTAAATAGTTTTAGTTATTTCACGTTTTTTATATTTATGTTTCTGTGGAAATTGTGACATTTGTGATATTGAATAATTTCTCCAAAATGATTTGTGACAGAAACAATAAATTAATTATGCAAATAAATTATTTAAACCTTATTTTAATTTTTAGTTTTGCTGTCCTGTTTTTTATTTTGTTTGTTGGATCTGTTTGGATGTTGAGTCTGAAATAAAGTTTAATTTTTATTTATGTAATTTTGAAAACCCAGGCTCTCATCTTCATCATCACCATCATCATCATGGTCTAGTTCTGCTGAATCAGTAAAAACCAGAGGAACTCAAACATTGTCTCATTTCACATCAGAACTAAATCATTTATTCAGAAACATTTTAAGAATCTAAACACTGAAACTCGTCCGTCGCTCCTGCTGCCCTCTGATTGGCTCATGTCTGGTCAGCTGACTTCTCCGCCTTCGCCTTCCGGACGAAGCCGTCGTTGAGCTTCTTCAGGTTTTTGTTCCGGTTCTCCAGTCGGACGACCCATTCCCCCCTCAGCCTGAAACAGACCACACCACCCGGTCAGGACGGCTGCTCAACATGTGGCCCGCAGGCTGATCTGGGGCGTCTGGGACAGAGATGTGGGCCCCAGCTCACATCCTGTTGCTGAGATCAGACATTTTTCTTCTAGACCAGAAAATTGAAAATCAGTTGACTCTATAAAGACTGAATTTTAATGTTTCAGATTGTCACAGACGTCTTTTTTTTAGTTTATTTAGTTTTTACTGAAACATTAAAATGTTTCAGTTTCTGATGAGAAGGTTGAAAAAACAGACTATTAATTTTCTACATTAAAAATCATAATGTTGGCCTGCGACTGCTTGGATAACACAACTTTAGATGATACATTTTTATCTGTCTGAATGTCCCAGTCAAAGTTCAAACCTAAATCTAAGGACAATCTAAAGGGCTACATGTTGTCACAGTTCATACGCCGTTTTATGGTCAGTATATTCAGGAGCGTAAAAAGCAAACTGCTAGCATAGCGCTATGCTAGTCCAACGACATACGTTTTGTCACGCTTTTCTGCTTTTGCAGCCACTGCAAAAGCAGGAGGTGACTTCAGCGCAGGGCATTCTGGGTAAATCCAGCCAAAGGCAATGTGTTAGCCTAGCACTAGCAGCAGAAATGGCTCCTGGTCTTCAGCCAAAGACTAAAGAGAAATCCTCCAACATAAACTCTGACGCCTCCATCTTGTTTCATCTGGTGAAACAGGAAGTTGCTCTCAGCGTCTTCAGAGGTTTTTGTGTCATTTCCTGCAGTGGTTGTTGGTGCAGCGCCCCCACAGGCCAGGAGGGGAACAGGCTGGTTTGACTCAGAACTACAGCAAATGATGGAGTTCTGGTTCCAGTAGAACCGGGTCGACTGGACCATCGGGGGGGAAACATCCTCAGAGATTTGTCAAGGCTCAGAGTCTGGTATGTTAACGAGTCTCACAAAGACAGAGGAACAAATGTGAGAGCATGTGGACAGGTTGGAGAACAAACACGAGTCCAGACCTGTGTGTGTGTGTGTGTGTGTGTGTGTGTGTGTGTGTGTGTGTGTGTGTGTGGGGTGTGTGTGTGTGTGGGTGTGTGTGTGTGTGTAAGATGACTCTCTCTCAGCTGTCCTCACCATATCTTTGCTGACTTCCTGACGAGTTTTCCAGATTATTACATTTGTTCTTTCAGCTGCTGATAATCCTGCTGACCTCGGCAGAGTCAGAGCTGCTGACGGAAACTCGCCCGTAACATCTCGACCCAAACGGGTCATTTATTCAGGAACGTGTGGATCACCTGGAAGAGTTCTTCCACCAACTGAGACCCAGTGCAGCCTGGTTCTGGTTCTGACCCGTTCCCATGGATGCACGCTCTGATTCTGCTGAACCTGAGGGTCACCAACCTTTAATGTCCGATTGTGAGTTGAAGTGCTGCCAACTCCCTCCTGCAGGTGGCAGTGTGACCCATTCCTCTGCTACTTCTAGTTTACCTGAGGTCAACTTACCTTCCATGATGGATGAGAAGAGAAACAAAAAGTCGTATTTACCGTCAAGTTTAACGCAATCTGAGATGAGAAGGAGGAAATTATCGTAGAAACAAAACGCAAATATTTCTGAAAACACCACAAAATAATGATTTTGATCAAGAAACAATTGTTTAACTGAATGTGAACTCCAGGAGGGATCGGTTTGTGTCATCGCAACTCCAAGGATTTTAATGCTGATGCAAAAAACAGACAGAAGAAAAACAGACGGCTGCAAAACACATGAATGAAGCTGTCACAAAAAACTCACAAAAAAATCCAAAACAAACGATACAAGCAGCAGATTTTCTGCCACCGTGGTTTGATGAAATAAAGACTTGAGTGGTTTTATCTCTGGCTGAACGCAGAGAGCCTGAAACTGCGTCGGCATCCTGGCAGCTTCACGTTTAAAGCTTCGTCTAAATCCATCCTGCTGGCTGTCGCCTCCCGTCACTCATCGCCTCGTCCTCCAAGCTCCGCCCACATCACACATAGCGCTCACAATTAGCCGGCGAGCCGGTAACAGATACCCGGGGGATCAGGAGAAACACGGTATGAGAGCAGGGGGATTAGCGAACGGGGTAATGGAGAGCAGGGGATTATGGGAGTCAGCAGAAACCCGTCCAGATGTTCCTCTGCTGGGAGCTCTGGCATCACGATGAGTTGATTCACAGCGACCTGAAGAAACCGCAGAGAACTGCAGAGACACCAGGAGACGGTCAGAGAGTCAACCTTCTGTCACACGACCAGCGTCAGACGACTGAGAAACTCATCCACGTTTTTCTGTAGGTGACGGCAGCAGGAGCAACGCAGCAGAACATGGTGGTGGCAGCATCATGCTGTGGGAAGCAGATCTGGGTTCATGTGAGGATGGATGATCCAAAGCAGGAGGGAACCTGGAGGGAACCTGGAGGTTTCAGTCAGAGCCAGGAAGTGAAAGTCGGGATGAACTGGTTGGTTCAGAACCTCCAGAACCTTCAGAACCTGCAGAACCTGCAGAACCTTCAGAACCTGCAGAACCTGCAGAACCTGCAGAACCTTCAGAACCTGCAGAACCTCTTCCAGCTGAGGATTCAGCCGTTTGGCTCCGGCCTGCCACCATGAGCGGCGTGTCATTCCTCTCTCCACTCCCTGCCAGAACCAGCGACCCGGCCGGTGGTCCGGTTGATGTTTCCGCTCATTAGCGCTCGCCCCCCGCTCCCTCCGCGGCCCTCACGGCGCGGCGGCCCTTTCGGGGCCGGACCGTCTCCAGGGGCCGCGGCTTGCTGTTTGTAATGAGCGGTTCTGTTTTTAGACGTGTCTATTTGCTATCTACGCTCACATGTCGGCCCACTGCGACCCAAACACATTCATCTGCCGTGTCGTAAGCAGGTTCACACGCAGAACACAGGGTGAGGCTCAACATGCGGCGCCCGCACGGTGAGGAGGCCGAGCCGGCAGCGTCTGGCGGTCGCTCTGCATGGAAACCAGCAGTATGGAGCTAAATTAGGGCCATAAAGTTTGTTCAAAGGGAAAAAAAAAGAAATGAAACTGACAAAACATTTCAAACTTAAATGTTTGAAACTACTTTTCAGGTTCCAGGTTAAAACGTTTTTTGTTTTGTTTTTTTTTTTCCGTTTGAAACCTTTTATTCTTTTGAACAAACATTATGGCCCTAATGTAGCTCCATACCACAGCAGCTCCATCTGAACCAGGATGATTACAGATTAGAGATTAATCTGATTATGGGGATAAATTACATCTCAGCTCAGACAGAAGGAAACAATCATGTTGAAGTTATTTAATGTCTTGAACATGAAAATAATGATAATTTCTCAAATTCAGCTGCAGATTAGCAGGCAGAGATTTAATGAGGACGATCAGACATTCGATTATATTTTATCAATGTCATAAAAAGCTGCTGATACTGGATGTTTCTGACATGTTTGGAAAGGTCTGAAAACTAAATCAGAACCTTTTAACTGTTATAAACGTTTTTAGAACCGGTGGACCAGAGTTACCAGAACCAGAACCAAAGGATTTGAGGGGCATTTAGTTTAGACCTGCAACAAACTGCCAGAAAACCTGAACGGTTCAGAACCCGCTGGTTCTGGAAACATCTATGGCTAACCGGATGTTTGGCTAACCGGATGTTTGGCTAACTTAATGTTTTGCTAACCGAATGTTTGGCTGACCGGATGTTTGGCTAACCGGATGTTTGGCTAACTGAATGTTTTGCTAACCGAATGTTTGGCTAACTGTATGTTTGGCTAACCGGATGTTTGGCTAACTGAATGTTTTGCTAACCGAATGTTTGGCTAACTGTATGTTTGGCTAACCGGATGTTTGGCTAACTGTATGTTTGGCTAACTGGATGTTTGGGTAACCGGATGTTTGGCTAACCGGATCTTTGCGTCTGCAGTGATAAAGAGACAAGGTCTTACTGACTTCTTCAGGGCGCTCTTGTTCATCCTGTTCTCTTCACTCTCTGCATGCTGGTTATCGGCGCTGATCCGATTCTCCCAGAACGACTTGATGTACAGACGGTCGTGGATCAGAGCCAAGTTCATCTGCAACGAAGCCAACAACAGTGGTTAGCAAAACGCCTCCATCAGAAGGAACTGGTACCAAACCACAGAACCCGAAAGGTTCTGTTCCCCATTTAAAGGGTTTGCTAGCTGACTCAACGGAGCTAAATCAGCTAAAAACAGGAGCTGTAAGCTAACTGAGGTGTCACTGTTCAGTTGCTGTTTCAGTTGAAGCTATCACTATGAGCACTGAATTTACTTGACATATGTATTAATTATTTTGTAAGCAGCTTGTAGTTCATTGCAGACTTCTGCCCAGGACCCTCTTGAAAAGGAGACCCAGATCTCAACGAGTTTACCTGGTTAAATAAAGGAAGTTAAAAAAATTAAGAAAAGAAAAAGCTCATACTGCTTCAAGTTGTCGAATCTAAGTTTGGGTCTTTTATTTTGACATACGACAGGAAGTAGCTGGGTTGTTGCCCCACTATAATAAAGACAATAATAGTGGTCTGGTACCAAAGAGAGACTTCCTTAAACCTCAAACTGTTCAGGAAATCAGTGGAGATTTCCTGAACAGTTTGACATAGACAAACCTCCTGTTAGCTCTGTGAGGCTAGCATGACTATTAGCCACTACCGAGAGTGCAGCTAGCGTCTTACAGGGGTTAAAGGGCAAATCAACCATTGTGATAGGATTTAATGGTCCCTGGTTCCAGATCACCGAGATTCATGAAATCTTTGTTTTTACTGAGAAATAAAAACATTTCTGTTATTTCTGTGATTCTAATCAAAGATCAGAACCAGACCTGAGCATCAGTTGAGGTTTGTCCAAAATACATTAACTTTACAGTAAAGTTATAATCACATTAGTAATTAAACTCATTTGTTTGTTTCATTAAAAAGTTTTAATATTAATTGTGGAATAAACATGTAAATACACATAAAATCACGCTGAACTTATTTCTGTTTTTCTTTTTAACGATCATTTCTGTGGCGCATTGAAACTTTCAATTTGTACTAAAATATTTGGCCTCAATTACGAGTGAAATCTGTTCTGGAGACGTTTCAGGCTCTTTGAAATCCAACTTTTTGGTTTTTGATTGGATAATTGATTCTTAGTTTTCTCCCAAATATGAATAATATTTACTCTCTGATGCAGCATCTTGATTTCAGAATGGATTCCTCACTTTGGACCCATAAAATGTAATAAAACAAGAAAAACGTTTCATATGTTGAGTTTCCAGGTGAGCAGCAGAAGGTTTTGTTGGCTCTGCTGGCCTTTATGTGAAAGTAGTTTGAGAGGAAACAGAGTCATGAGAGCGAGGAAAAACATGCGGCAAACATCGCCAGGCTGGGAATCGAACCTGCAACCACTGCCATGAGGACTAAGGCCTCAAAACGCAGATTAATGTTTAATAAAGTTTAATGTTTAATAAAGTTTAATGTTTAATAAAGTTTAATGTGGGTTTTATGTGCCGATCAGCCGCCTTGGAAACGTTTTGAACCGCAGGAATCATGTTGGTCATAAACGGATCAAATAAAATCCAAATTTAAAGAGCGACTCGTATAAATTCAGTCACAAAATAAACACAGAGCCGCCAAACCAACTGAAAGTACAATCATATAAAATATCATTTCTGTTTCTCTCAACTTACATCTGAACACAGTTGGATTCTTTTCTCCCTTTTCATTTGAAACTCATCAAATCTGAAGCTGCAGCAGTTTAATAAAAACATAATATTCAATAAAACATCAACTGTACCTGTAGGGGAAACAAGTAGATCTGTTTCTGATTCCCAATTCGTCCACAACTCTGCAGCAGGAAGAGAGAAAAACAGGAAAAGTCCAGAAATCCTCAATTTATTTATTAAATACTTTTATTTTCTGAGTGAATCTAAATAATGACCTAAGAGGCTGGATGAAGTCACTGGAGCAGATATCTGATCTTTTTTATGAGGAGAAGAAGCCACTGACCTTCAGGCAGAGCCCAGCTGAACGTTCGTCCCTCGCAGTGAGTGATGTCAGTCTGTCCGTACGTCCTAACCAAAGCCCGAAACCACGCCCCCAGCAGCAGGACGCCTCCCAGATGTCAGGGCTGGAAATATGTGGAGCTCCAGCTGGACCTGCAGAGAAAACGCAGCATAGGGACTCATTCATTCATTCATTCATTCATTCATTAGGGCTCACATCTGATTGGCTGATTTAATAAAGTTTAATCATCCTGCTATTTTCTACATGCAGATTTAAATATCTTAAAATAAATCCAAATTTTCTCAAAGAGCATTAAAGATGCCAAAGATGCTACACAATGCTACTAAAATATGTAAATAAATATCAACTTGTAAAATGTTTTCATGTTTGACTCAATAATTATTCCTTTAGCATAAATGTTAATTCATACGGTCTGATTTTGGACGGCCATGTTGTCATGATGGACCCAGGTATGGAGAGCAAATGATGATTTAATGATGAAACACAAAAACAAGAATCCAGGCAGCACAGAAATCCTGGAAACAGGAAACAGGAAGTGAACAGAGACACAGCTGGGACCAAAAAACAGGACAGCACAAAACAAACACAGAAAACTCACAAAAAAAATGTTATTATCAGATATTATAGCAGATAATACACATTTTCATCAAAGTTCATCAGATTTGACTGAAATCTCATAAATGACATTTAAATCAATCATTTCAACTTATATCTTATATTAAAATTGACTGAACAACAGAAAACAGAAATGATACTAAAAGGTTTTAAGACTTTACAAATGTATCGGATTCACTTGTATTCTTAATTTTGTTTTTATAGTGTATTTTATTATTTACCTTTGTGCCTCAATATCACGTCACTTTCCTGCGACACCTGAATTCCTCCGTCACAGGACAATCAGGTGCTTTTCGATTATCTTCTGATAAACTTTAGGAAAAGAAATAAACCTGAAATTGTTAAAAACATATACTTCTTTTTAAAATTAAAACGGTTTAATCTGCAGCCCCGCTTACAGATGCTAAAGCTCGCAGCTGTAGCTAATGCTAAAGCTAGTTAGGTTAGCTTTAGCATTAGCTACAGCTACTAATTCCATCCTACAGTACATGGCTAGTAGATGTAGTAACTAACTGCGACCAGCAGGGGGACTCTAGCTAACCTCTATAACTGAAAACACCATTTGAGAACAAATGATGTTCAACGTTTACTGAACATTTAGCTCCAAACTAAACATTTATTTTCCAAACTAAACATTTAATTTAACCTAAGAAAGTATTTTTCACTGGCTAAATATTTTGTGCATATATGCAAATTAGCTGAATAAGTGGACTGTCAAAAAAAACGGCTGGTGAGAAGAAATTGGTTCAGTCGTTTTGCTTCACAGCAAAGAATAAACTTGTGAGAAAAATATTAATATAAAAACAAATGAAAATGTTGTTTGTGTTTTATAATTTAAAATGTTCCTTAATTTGTCATTATATGGTTTTTGGTAAAAATGTGATTATTTAAAGACAATGTCGTTATTTTGATCCAGTTTTCATTCAGTCTGAGTCACAGAGAAAGACTGGCACTAAATAAGAAACACACACACACAGACAGACAGAGACACACACACACAGACACACACAGACACACAGACAGAGACACACACACACACACACACACACACACACACACACACACACACACACACACACACACACACACACACAGAGATATTTGGACCCTGCATGACATCACTAGAACCTGTCATCGGTTCCATGTCTCCATTTCCTGCTTCCTGAGTTTCTGTCAGTTACAAGTGAAGGTAATAAAATAAATAAAAGTTTCAGTTTCTCAGAGTTTAAAAGTTCCTGTAGGAATAATTTACTCTTTATTTTCCTCTGAATTATTAGTGCGACGTCGCGCTCAATGTTCCCTCTAAGCTGCGCCTGCGCACTGCTCACATATTCTCAGCGCACAAGAAAATCTATGTAGCGCATAAAATAAAGTCCAACGTAAAGTGGACATTGAGCTCAGACATCAGTTTTGACTATGGACCAATAAATTTTTTCCGTACTACTTTGTGATCGAACTCAGTGAGTGACAGGAATCCAGCCAATGATACGATACGGTTCACTTTCGCTACGTGGGTTACGTGCCTTGGTCATATGGCCGTGCAGGTGAGAATAGTGCGGCAGAGTTAAGAAACGTGAAAGCCATCACCTGATCATGTCTAGTGGGACATCCACTCACCAAGCCACAGTAAAAAAAAATAAATTCACTTCTTCTAAGATCAAATGGAATCAAATCAAATGAAAGGAATGGTCTGCATTTGATACTGAAATGTTGAGTTCAGACTTTTGACTATGGATAAGCAGACATTTGTACACTGGCAAAGAAGTATGAGGCCATTCTCCTCCACCCACAGATTATGGAGGCCATTAATAGTCAATATGCTGAATTCAAGAACATAAAGCAAGAAGCAGACTGACCATCAACCTGGGCTAAGTGAACAACCACTGGAGAAGTGAGAAGGGCAGACGTGAAAAAAACTAATTAAATATTTTACAAGAATTTATACTGCATCACAAGCTACAGAAAACATTTCATTGTGCAAAATGTGAATGTTTTAATATGAACAAACATTTATGTCTGAAAGGTGTAATGTCTCATTTCTCACTCTGGCTGAAGCAGGACTCTTACTTACAGCATGCATCTCATGAACAGCAATGTTTTCTTTCCTTTATTATTTTAATTGAGCAAATCACTTAAATTAAAAGCAAACAAATGAAAACTGCTGATGTAATATGATTTTTTTAATAAGCCATGCAACTTTCTATGATCCCAGATTTATGATACTTGTGCGTGGCCACGCCGTGTACACTGATGATGCTCACAGTGGTCCTCAGTGTGTTCAGGAAGCTTGTGTGTACGCCCAGACACATGAAACATTAGAGGGAACATTGGTCGCACTGCTCTTAGTTTATTTCATTGACTGATTAATAATTATTTACTCTGCAGGAGATTTTTTGTTTTTGTTCAGGTTTTATTGATTTCATGTCATTTCTATCTTCTGAGATTTTCCAGTAAAAACTCCATAAAATTGAACCTGCCCAAGTAATTACTCTGTAATTATGTTTCTTATTCATAATGTGTTATTTTAGTTTTCATAAAACAGAATTTTTTTCATCTGACTGAAGATATAAAGTTATTGAATCAGATCCAGTGATCACACAGTGACTCAGTTCCTATGATATCTGTTTACTTTGATGGGTTTAGTATTAATTTACTCTGATGACGTTTCAGACTCTGAGGAATCAGAGCCTCTAACATCCTGATGACTCTAAACTTCAGAGTTTATTTCACCAGACGACTTTTATTCCACCAGCAATTCGGTTTGAACAGAAAATGTAACATTGGGCCTGATTGTGTTATTGGAAGACACAACCAGCAATACTTTAAATCAGTGCTTCTCAAATAGTGGGGCGGGCCCCCTTTGGGGGGCGCGGTGCGATACCTGGGGGCGCGTGTGATCCTGGGGAACAGGCTTTTTTTTGGCCGTACTAGTATAAAGTGTAATTGCGCACAGTAGGCGGCAGTGGCGCTCTCATTGTTACTTCTGTCACGTTTGCGACAGTGCAACATTTTACGACTTACAAGACAACAGGTTTGCCTTGGTTAGCAGTGTTAAGTCAACAAAAAGCTCCGACTGCGTTCTGTCTATGGCCTCCGTTATTCAACAACCCCCAACATGAAAAGTTTTTCACAGGGATGAAAAGAAAAGGGAGAGAGACAAAGATAATGAGACAACAGAAAGTCAACCGAAAGCTAAGAAGAGGAAATACGACGAAGCGTATTTAGCGCTTGGCTTCACTGTGACTACAGTTGGAGAAGAGGAAAGACCGGTCTGTTTGCTGTGTCTAAAAATGCTCGCAGCGGACAGCATGAAGCCAAATAAATTAGCGCGTCACTTAAATACGTTACATCCCAATCACGCCGATAAGCCGCTAGAGTTTTTTCAGCGAAAAAAATGTTAATAAGGAAAAACTTATGCAGAGATGGATAGTCACGGTGGGGAGTGGGGGCGCGAATAGTTTTCTTCTTGCTAGGGGGGGCGTAACGGAAAATAATTGAGAAGCACCGCTTTAACTAGACCACTTCAGTATTAATGGACCAGGTTTTGGTGTCTTTTCTGTTTCCTCTGCTTTGTCTGCAGGATCTGGATCTGCTGGTTCTAATAAGCCGAGTGTAATCAGGCTTTGCTGTCATTGTTTCTGCTTTATAGAAAATTAAAATGAACAGCACTCAGCCTGGCGGGGCAAGGAAAGCCTGGTGGCCTGCCAGGCTTATAATACACTGAGGGAAACCCTGCTGTTAGTTATGAAACATTTCACTTACTGATATTATTCAGCTGGCATCTCTGCAGCATCAACACGTCAACATAAAGCAACGCATGAAACGCTCAGTTGTTTAATGAAAGTCGTGTATTTATCACATTAATCGTCTTTCAGCTGATGAACTGCTTGCTGAGGCGCAAAGCGCTTCATGCTGCAGACTGAACAGGTGTTTTCATGACCCTGAAACTCAAACACAATGTTGCTGTTCTCCCGACCCGCCTGGACCCGCAAACATAAACATGAGCCTGGAGGCCGAGAGCCCGATAAAGATAGAAGACACGGGAATGTGTGTTTGACAGCCTGCTGCGGAGTCGCATCGCCCCGAGAGGCTCGACATTTAGCTGCTGTCACCCGGCAGACTCACAAACACACATTTTGACTCCCGTCTTCATGAGAACGTCCATCAAGCAGTGCAGGCGCTGCCCAGGCGCCGCCACACGACCTCTGACATGTTTCCTTCAGGTACTTCTCTGTTTGACGCTAATCTGAGCTACAGATCCAGAGCTACAGATCCAGAGCTACAGATCCAGAGCTACAGATCTAGAGCTACAGATCCAGAGCTACAGATCTAGAGCTACAGATCCAGAGCTACAGATCTAGAGCTACAGATCTAGAGCTACAGATCTGTAGCTACAGATCTAGAGCTACAGATCTAGAGCTATAGATCTAGAGCTACAGATCTAGAGCTACAGATCTACAGCTACAGACCTAGAGCTATAGATCTAGACATATAGATCTAGAGCTACAGATCTAGAGCTATAGATCTAGACATATAGATCTAGAGCTATATATATATAGAGCTACAGATCTAGAGCTATATATATAGAGCTACAGATCTAGAGCTACAGATCTAGAGCTACAGATCTAGAGCTATTGATCTAGAGCTACAGATCTATAGCTCTAGAGCTTTAGATCTAGAGCTACAGATCTAGAGCTACAGATCTACAGCTACAGACCTAGAGCTATAGATCTAGCCATATAGATCTAGAGCTACAGATCTAGACATATAGATCTAGAGCTTTAGATCTAGAGCTACAGATCTAGAGCTACAGATCTACAGCTACAGATCTAGAGCTACAGACCTAGAGCTATAGATCTAGAGCCCACATATCAAACTGCACCACCCAGTGAGGACAGTCCTGTCCCTCCTCTCTGCTTCAGCAGGTCCATAAGTCTTTCTGAGGAGGCTGGTTCTGTGTGTTCGGACCCGATGGATCATCAGAAGCTCCACATAAATCACCACCAGCTCTTTACGTCTTTAACCAGGATGCAGCAGAAATGTCCTGATGACTCATCAAACTTTCATCCTGTGGAAGTTTTTCAGGTCCGGCAGCAGAAACGGCGTCTCTGCTGCTCTATGATGGAAGACTGTTTGGTTTTCATGAGGACTTTTTTATTTATTTATTTTTTATCTGACAGTTCAGCATCAGCTCAGCTAATCTGAATCACCTGGATTATAATTATCTTACTGTCCAGTGGAGCATCAGTTTCCACCAGGTGGCGCCACATGCAGCAGAAACTCAGGAAATGTTCAGGTCTGAATATCCATTCAATCATTTTATGATTTATGTGTTTAATACTTTGTTTCATTTCATTTAGTTAGTAATATTTTGTTTTTAAACTTTTTAATTCAGGAAAAATACAACAATTTAAAAAGTATTTCATAATATTTTGAAGTCTTTCACCAGAATGATTGTTTTCTGTTATTTTTTTTTTAATATGAAGAGAAAGTTCAAATAAATAATCTAAATGATACTTCTGATCCTCATTTTCTGATTGGCTGCAAGTCAAAGCTAGCTTAGCTAGCAAGAACTGTGGGGATAAAATAAGACGTGATGAATATAAAATATTTCATTTTCTGAAAATCAACAGAGGATTGTGATAAAAAAAAAAAAATCTGGCAATAAATTCATAATAAATGATCTGATGCAACAATTTTCCACTGCATCCGTCATCCAATCAGGAGGTCAGAGTTAGCATTTATGCTAAATAAAAGTAATAACTATTGAGCAGTGAATGAAAAACATTCTGAAAGTTTCTTTGTGCGTTTGTTGCTCAAAGGCCCCGAGTCTTTCCCAGAGCAAAACCTCCAAAAACAACCAAAAGAAAGATTCTTATTTCTAAAGAATCTAACGGAGTGAAAAGTTTGAGTAAAAGCGGATCGATGTTTTGCTCCACAGCGAAGACGAAAGCAGAAACATCGCTAATCATTGGGAGTCAATTTTTGAACCTCAGGTTTTTAAAGACCAAGTGATTTTAAAATGAAAAATGATCCATCTGCAGCAACTTGTGTATCAGGCCTGAGGTCAGGGCGGCCGCACAAAATCCTTCAGAGGGCCGTAAATGGCCCCCGGGCCGCACGTTGGACATCCCTGACCTCCAACCATGAACCGTCTGAAGAAAGTTTCTGTCTGACAGTCGGTGAATCAACCAGTAAATATAAAACATCCACTGAACGGTGGGGTTCTGGTTCTGGTTCTGAAGGAACGCCTCTGTGTGTGTGAGGAGCACCGGGCCTCGGTGTCATGTGACACACACTCACACTGGTAAAAATAGCTTGGTGGGTCACACACACTCTGGGTCAGTAAACAGGACGGACGCTGAGCCTCAGGTAGGAACCACAGGTCGGATTCTGGGTCGGAACCAGGACTACGACCCGATCTGATCGTTTGTTGGATTTTCTGACTTTTACAGTTTGTAGATTTTCAAAAACCAAAATGTTTCTTGTAGCTAAAATTGGCAGTATGTTATTATCAATGAGCAGAACGAAGATTTATTGATCTGCATAAAATCTGTCAAACAGATCAAATATGTTTGTGTTAAAACTGAACATTTCAGCTGAAATTATTTTAAATTAATTATAATAGTTAAAAAGATCAAATTCTACAAGGATTCAGAGATTTAAAATCTGTCCACATAGCAGACCGACCCGACCCGGATCTGGTATTCTGCTGGCACTAGGTCCAGATCTGGTAATGATGGTTCATATGAGGCGGGACACACCTGGACCGGTGATGGTACGCCACACCTGGACCGGTGATGGTACGCCACACCTGGACCAGATCTGTCCTTGCCAAATACAGGCCAGTTAGGGAAGCGGTTATGTCACCATGTGTCAAGTGACAATTTATTTTCTCATAAGTCATTTCAGGAAATCAGTTCTTAAAGTTCAATTTAAAAAAGACATGAGAGAAATTAGAATCAACATCATAATGGTTTAACTTGTTACGCTAGCCGTTGTTTTGTCTACCTGGATTTTATATGTTTATTGAATGTAAAATGTTTTAGTTTTAAATCTCTAAATATAAGAACATTTAGAATGGAAATGGCCGCCGTCACCCCCTGGTGGCGGACATGACAAACTGCAGCGCCGTCTCCATAGTAACGGACTCATGAACTGAACTCAGTCCTTAAGTCTTTTTTGTTTTTTTAGCACAAATAAATGATTCATTTTAATCTATTAGCTGCATTTTCCCACCACCTGTAGGTTTTACTTATTCAACAGTTGGAAATATTTTATCTAGTTCTTAAAATGTCCTTTTTAACTGTTACTGTGAATATTATTTACCATTAAACTTAGATGTTAGCATTGAGCTGTTAGCATTGAGCCATTAGCATTGAGCTGATAGCATCAAGCCGTTAGCCTTCAGCTGTTAGTCTTTAGCTGTTGTCCAGATTGATTCCAGATGTTCTGTATTGTTTAGGTTGAAATAACATTTCTGACAAAGCGGATCAATACTGATCAATAAGTTTATTTATTCTCTTTATTGAAGCTCAGAGGAGAATCCTATTGATCAGTTGCCATGACAACCAGAGCAGCATGGCCGTGGAGATGAAACAGAGTCTTTAATGTTTATGTCTGAAATTAGAACGTTGTAATAAAGAATAGTGTTGATATCGTTAGTTATAGTTTTTATTGATATTCCAAACATTAAGTTGTTTGGGACAGAACCGGCCTCTGGCCTCCAGTGACCCGGTTCTGGTTCTCCAGAGCTGAAACGGTTTCCGGGCCAGTTGGTGTGTCCTCATCTGGTCCAGGCCTGGCCCGGTTCTGGCCGCACACGGGCCTCATCCGGCCCAGACCGGGTTTGCTCTGTGAGATCGGTTAATTTTATTATTTTAATCTCCAGCTGTTTAGTTCAGAGGAACCGTTTACATTTTAATATCCATCAATTTAACATCAAACAGCTGGAGATGAAATCAGCCTTTAAAACGATTCTGTGTTCCTGAAACTTTTCTATCTGTCCAGTTCATTACAGGACATTTATGTTTTAATTATTATTAAAAAATAAAGATTAAATGGAGGAAAATGCCAACGTGCCGACTGTTAAACTGTTTAAAACAAACACATTTTTAGGCGGATCTGTATCGTTACTCCAAGCTGCTGTCAGTAAACCCAGATATTAATAAAACCTCTGGTTTTTCAGCTTTTAGCTCCAAAAGTAATTTAAGAAATTTAAATATTCCTTAAAGTTCCTCCAACAAGCAAACTGGAAAATATTGTGGAGCAAACTGGAAAATATTGTGGAGCTGCTGCGGCTGACCTGTTTCCATTTTTTATTTGTACTTTTATGTTGGAGCTTTAATGTGAAGTTATTTAATGTTTTGTTATTTGATCTGTTTGTCAATCTGAGTCACCTGGAAAAGTTTGATTTTTCCATCCGCAGGCAGAACGTTGCAAACTTCTGGGTTAAATTACAGGAGATAGAGAAACGAGTTAATCCATGATAATCTGGGCTTCAACAGTTTTATAATCTGTAAAACCATTTCAGGCTAAAAATTCTGACAGAAAAAATTGATATTTTGTTTCTCATCAAACTGTTGACTTCCAGCTTTAGTTCAATTCTGATGTAAAACACTTTTCAGCCTCTGGGTGGCGCTGCAGCACAGACTGAAATAACTCAGTTTGAACAAATATTCATAAATAACTCAGGAAGTTTTTGTGTGTTTTTCTGGTCCAAACCCGGCAGAACCGATGGGTCCGAACAGGAAGTTCGACGTTCCGGTGTACGATCTGTCTGCGGTCCGAGGAATCTGGGAGGTCCGAGTGAAGAAGTACAGAACCAGGCAGAAGAAGGAGCAGGAGAGGGTGGAGAACAGCGCCCTCGCCAGGTCAGTTTCATCAGAGCGGCGTTCCCGTTCACAGCCTGGCCTGCAGGGGGCGGCCTGCAGGGGGCGGCCTGCAGGGGGCGGCCTGCAGGGGGCGGCCTGCAGGGGGCGGCCTGCAGGGGGCGGCCTGCAGGGGGCGGCCTGCAGGGGGCGGCCTGCAGGGGGCGGCCTGCAGGGGGCGGCGTTTTACAGCTTCAATCCCAAAACAAGATCCACTTCAGAGTTTTAAATACGACGTTCCTGCTTTTCCAGCAGCTAAATATTCCAGAAACAGCCGGAAGAGACGAACATATGACAGGAAATGACCTAATTAACATGATGAGCAGTTTGTGAACTCTGACCAACAGCAGCATCCAGTCCATGGATCTGTTCTCTGAGGCTGAGTCACACACAGCTGATGGAGGAAACCTCTGAGAGCAGAAGCTGCTTTTAGCAACATGAACACTGAGAGGCATTTATAGCAGCAGGTCGGAGCAGAAAGGTCAAATATCCAGACAGCAACCCAATCAGCGAGCTGCCCGCAGAAACGTCCCGTCGCTGTTCGCTCATTAACACGCGGAACTGTTTCCTGTCTGCGCAGGATCGATCAGCAGTGGCAGTACCGCATCTACTGCAAGAGCATGAAGGCCAAAGAGCTGCAGCAGCTGCACCACTACCTGGAGAGATCCCTGCTGACGGAGCCGCACGGAGCACACCTGGACCGGAACCCAGGTAGCATGGGTAAAAACCCAAACACAGGTACAACCAGAACACAGGTACAACCAGAAGACAGGTACAACCTGAACACAGGTACAACCAGAAGACAGGTACAACCTGAACACAGGTACAACCAGAAGACAGGTACAACCAGAACACAGGTACAACCAGAACACAGGTACAACCAGAAGACAGGTACAACCTGAACACAGGTACAACCAGAAGACAGGTACAACCGATCCAAACCCAGAACACGGTACTGAGTGTAATCTGTGGAGATTTGATCTTTGTTCTTTTGGAAGAAACCCAAATATGAACTTATTTTGGTCGTTTCCGTGGTATTGTGAGTTTTCTGTGGTTTCATCAGGGAGTTAATAATTATGACCCAACATGAGTATCATCAGCATAACGGCGGATATTCACTCGAGCTCAGAACCAGGTGGTGTAGGAGTAGACCGTAACAACGGTTCTGGTATTGAGTAGTTTTGGTTCTGATGGACCCGACCTGCTGCCAGAGGAACTTGGAATCTCTCAGGCCGGATCAACTTGTCTTCAGACCAGAGGACATCATGGCGTCTCTTCGTCCCGGAGCGAGGCGGTCGCTGAAAAACGTTTCTCATGATTCAGCAAACATCCCGACGGCTTTAGCAAACTCTAGTCTGGTTTTCAGTCAGACATTAAGGAAACGTGTTTCTCTCCCCGTTAGACGTCCAGCAGCAGGAGGATCATCCGGATGCGAAGGATCTGATCTTCCAGCTGGAAGGAGATCGTTGGCTGGTGAGTTCCCACATTCCCAGGGTAAGGGAACGCGCTCTGTGATGTTTGAGGGAACCGTTCTGCAGGACTTTCCCGGGAGCTGCAGTGGACCACCTACCTGCAGGAGTGGCACGTCAGACGGACTCGGATCCGCCAGCTGCCCGACTTCCTGGCTCTGTTCACGCAGCTCACCGTCCTCGAGATTCCCAGAAACCTCATCACGGATCTACCGCCTCAGATCGGTGAGCGGAACCGGGCCAGAATCTGACCCGACTTCTACAAGGCTTCATCGTCCGTTTGCTCCTCGTCAGCGGGACGGTGGGTGTTTCCGCCTAAACTCCGTCTCCGTTTCCCGTCTGCTGTCTCCACCAGGGAAGCTGGCGGCGCTCCGCAGGCTGAACGTCAGCTACAACCGGCTGTCCAGAGTTCCTCCGGAGCTCGGAGACTGCGAGAAGCTGGAGCGTCTGGAACTGGCCGGAAACCTGAGCCTGAGCGAACTGCCCTTCGAGGTGAGGCCGCGGGTCTCCGGACCGGGTCGGAACCGTCCCTCACGGTGTTTTCTGCCCGCAGCTCAGCAGCCTGAAGCAGCTGGTCCACCTGGACATCTCGGAGAACCGGTTCGCCTCCATCCCCGTCTGCGCCCTGAGGATGAGCCGCCTGCAGCTGCTGGACCTGAGCAACAACCAGCTGAGCGACCTGCCGCAGGACATGGACAGGTATCTGCTGCTGGCGCCGCCTGCTGGGACCGGACCGGTTCTGATCGGTTCATTAGAACCAAGCTGTCCTTTCCTCTTCCTGTTGGGTCAGTGGGGTGTCCTTTCTTTCTGTGTTGGGTCAGTGGGGTGTCCTTTCTTTCTGTGTTCAGGCTGCAGCAGCTCTCCACCCTCTTCGTCCACAGCAACCGTCTCTCTTACCTCCCAGTTTGTCTCACCAACATTTCCAGTCTGAGGATGGTGGTTGCCAGCGGCGACGCTTTGACCTGCGTCCCGACCTCACTCTGCAACGACCCGACCATCAAGTAAGATCCCAACATTTGGACGAAGCCGTGAAGCGTCGGACCGACCGGCGCCTGTGTCCCCTGCAGGTTCATCCGCCTCTATGACAACCCCGAGAGGAAGAGGAGGGAGGTGAAGGACGGCAGTGAGAAGGAGTTCATGGAGGCCTACATCGGCACGCTGAAGGACAGAGGTCAGTCCAAGGTCGCCGGCCCGATGCTAACCGCTAATGCTGCTAACCGCTAACTCTGTTTGTCCCAAATCAGACTCCGTCCCGTTCTCCACCACCAAGGTCTCCATCTCATGCCTGCTGTGACGGACCGGAACCGGAACCGGAACCGGAGCCGGAGCCGGAACCGTTCTGCAGAGTCCAGTCGGCTCAGAACCAGAATCTGGACCAGGTCCAGATCCTGGTTCTGATGGTTCTGGAGGGTTTGAACGTCAAGTCGCCCAGAAGCTTCTGGTTTTTATTTCAGTTTAAATTCCAGATTTTAAAACGTCTCCATCTTTTAACAGACTGAGGAAATAATTAGAATAAAATCATAAAATTAAACGGCAGCAAAACAATAAAACCTGAATAATGAGAATTAAAAGTCGGACTTTATTCATATTACGACTTCATTTATGTTTTACCATTGAATTTTTTCTTGCTGATTTTTTAGTCTGGTTTAAAACATCGTTGTGAAAATCAGATTAAAGCAAAAGTGTAAAATTTAATCCGGATCATCTGCAGATTAAAATTTGTCAAAATTAAATCTAAACTAATTTTCCGCAGAATCAACAAGGATTTTAAATTTCAGTAAATATTCTGTGATACATGAATAATATTTTACTTTTCTGTAAATAGGACTGTAGTTACAAATTTCTAATTATCCTAATTTAAAAACAGATGAAAATGAACAAATTTAATAAAACACTGATAGAAATAAAGTTTACAGAAAACTAATTCTGAATATTCCTCTTTCCGTTTTAAAATAATTTCCTGAATAGTTTTAAAAATGTAGAAAATAAAACCTCTCTTCCTGGTTGACCTTTGACCTCCTCAGGCTGATGGTTTGTGTTTTGATTTAAATCTGTAGCTGAAGTTGTGACCAAACTAAATTCTGAATTACAGAAATATTTTATACATTTGATTAATTGAAATGTTTTAACGCATCAACATGATTTTAGTTTTTATGATATGTTTGTTTTTTCCAGAAGTTCTGATTTTATTCCAACATGATTTTAGATTCCAGGAAATGTTTCCGTGTTTTGTTTTTCTAAACCTTCTGGATTTTTAGAAGCTTTAATAAAATCTGCTGATTATGTTCAACAACTGCGGTGTGACTGACTTCACTCTGAATTGAACGGGAAAAGTTTCAACTGGAGAAAAAATTACACTAAAAATCATTTTATTGTAATTTTAGTGAAATCTCTTCAAAATAAAACAGAAGTGGATTCGTTGCTGTTTCCATTTTGTCTTTAAAAAATGACCAGATATGCAGCTAATCCATCTTCTGAAGGAAACAAAGAAAAGGCTAATGATGCGAACACTAGCCACGCCCTTCAGGGGGCGGGGCTAAGCGCTGGGGCGGGGCTAAGCGCTGGGCGATACCCGATAAATGTTTTTAATTTTATTTTCATTTGGTTTTCTCACCTTAAATAAATAGACATTTTATCATTTAAATTAATGGCTCTGATTCAGTTCTGACCCGGTCTTTCTGGTTCTGATCCGAACCTGGAAACCTGATGGAAACGTGCAAAACCCGAAGGCTCGGTTCAAACATCTTTATTAATATCGTCACAAAGTTCTGAAAAAACCCGGTTGGTAGAAACCGGGTCGGTTAGAGGCACTAAAGCGCAGCAGAGACATCTGGACAACAGCTGCCTGGTTCTGGAGGTACCGGGTCAGCCAGACGCACCGGACCGGCCGCCCGGTTCTGATAGACTGGAGTCGCTGTGACGCTGCAGGAGGAACCAGGAACCGGACTCCAGAAAACAGTCCAGATGTTTGGTGAAACTGTTCCACGGATCCCAGCCGGACTAGGCTCCGGTTCTGACAGGTCAAAGGTCAAACAGAACCTCCAGAACCAGGCGAGGTTCTGAGGTTTGACCCGAGTCCAGAACCCGTTGCCATGACACAGATTCCCCTGGACGTTTCTGTGGTAACGGAGTGGGGGCGGAGCCAGCAGGTGCATCAGGAAGCAGAGAAACTCCAACAGGTGAGTCAGTTCACCTGCTGGTGGAGTCCAGAGGGGGCGCTGTTCCCCCCCAGCCCTTTGGTCTCAGCCAATCAGGAGAGAGGAGCTTATGAACGCCATCTGTGATTGGCCGCCGCCCGCTCACATGCTGCTGTCCTGCAGGAGCGGCTCGATGTCCTCAGTGTCGCTGGTGGGCGTGGCCAGCGCCGCGCCGCCGTTCTGAGCGTGTGCGGGTTTGGCGGCGGCGGCCGGACCGCCGGCGGGGCGAAGGTTCTCCGGGATGAAAACCGCGACAATCATGGCGACGACGACCGCGCACGCCCCGAACAGGAAGGGAGGGCCCGGGATGACGGCACGCTGTGGGAGACAGGAGGAAACGGTGACCTTTAACCTCTGGTCACCTTTAACCTTTGACTTATGATTCAATAAAACCTGATTTTTAGCTATAAATCAAAACGTTCATTTTATCTAAAATTTCTATCTATTGTAATGTTTGAATGTGGGGGCGTCCCGGTGGGCGCGTCCCGGCGGGCGCGTCCCGGTGGGCGCGTCCCGGCGGGCACGTCCCGCTGGGCGCGTCCCGGTGGGCGCGTCCCACTGGGCGCGTCCCGCTGGGCGCGTCTTGGTGGACGTTACCTGCGTGTCCGGCGTTCCTGCGGCTGCCGGAACGTCGCTCAGCTCCACGTTGAACAGGAAGAAGATGAATCCATAGAGAGCCGGACCCAAACCGTTACAGAGACCCCGGATCCCCGTGATCATCCCCTGGACCACACCTACACACACACACACACACACACACACAGTCAGGCTGCAGCTGATTGGCTGCTGTAACGTGACGCTGTTCCTGATTGGCTCACCCTGCTGGTCGGCGGAGGCGTTGTGCGACACGAGAGCAGAGACTGCTGGGAAAGTGATGGAGGACAAGGCGGCGACGGTTCCTGCTGCCCACATCATCCTGCAGGGACAGAACCGACCCGACCCGACTCAGAACCAGAACCAGAAGCAGAACCGGGAACAGAACCAGAGACTCACCATGGCTCGGACCCGAAGGCGTACCAGCCCAGCTGCAGCAGCTGGAAGCCCAGACCCAACAGAACCGTGTTCTTCTTCCCGATGGTTCGCATCAGAACGCTGAGCAGAAGGGTCTGAGGGGACAGGTCAGGGGTCAGAGGTCACAGAGACAGCTGCTGCAGACACCTGGAGGAACCATGTTCAGGAACGATCTGATTCTTTTCAACGATAGATGTGAGTTTCTGCAGCAGCTCCTTCATTTAGAAATAAATGTATTTAATCTGACTGAAACAGGAAGTGGCCGTCTGAACAGACAGCCATTTTGGCGGCTCCATGTTTGTTTTCATGATGACTATGTGCTAGCTACTGCTACGCTAACGCAGGCCGAGGATGAAGACAGTCTCAGTGCACTGCAGGTTTCACGTTGTTTTCTTTAATATTTATATTTAGGTTTGTTCACCGTTAATTTGTTGCATTACATATGAGAAATCAACTAAATTTATTACATTAGCATTCACAACACTTTATGCTAGCCAAAATTAGCACCCACAACAGGCTATGCTTCATAGCACTAGCATTAACAACAGGCTGTGCTGACAGCACAAAGACCCGCCCCTTGGCTCTGATTGGTTGTTTCTAGTTGTCAGGAGAAAGAGGAGATAAATTTAGCTTTAGGGAAACGATTGAACTTGTTTTGAGAATTTCACAAACAGACCAAGTCCATCGAACCTGAGCAACGATAGAGAGGATTCCCACCATGGCGATGAAGGCAGCAATGGCTTCAGGGGAGAAATGTATCACCTGGAGGAGATGAGAGGAAATACAAGTCATTCTGAAGGTCCAGGATGACCCAGGTGTGTGTGTGTGTGTTTGTGTGTGTGTGTGTTGGGGTGTGTGTGTGCGTGTGTCTTCCTCTACCTGCTTCAGGTAGAGGAAGAAGCTGGAGTACTGTCCGGCTTCAGGCAGGTAGGACAGGAAGACGGTGACACAGATCAGCAGAACCGTGGAATCCTTCCCGACGCGTCGCAGTGACTGAAACCCAAACAACCAATCAGAGCATCCGCTGCTGGTTCCGGTTCTGCTGCCGGTCCGACTGACTCACGGCGAACGGGTCGGCCTGCTCCCAGGAGATGGGGAACCCCAACGACGACAGCCTCATCTTGTCCGGCAGCGACTCGGGAACCACGAAGAACACGAAGGCGATGTCCGTCACCGCGATGACCGTGGCGACCAGCACCACCAGGCTGTCCCCATAACGACTGGACAGGTAGGCGCCGATGGCCGGGCTCGTCACCAGGCTGGCGGCGAAGGTCGCTGACACCTGGGAGGAGGCAGAGGTCAAGTGATCCGGTTCTACAGAACCGGCTCTGATCCGGGCCGGAACAGGCACGACTGGAACCCGATCAGAACGATAAATGATCGGTGGAACCGGTTCCGAGTCTCATTTAGCTTCTGCTAAATATTGTGTTAGCATAGCGCTTTAGCGCTCGCAGAACTGATGTTTATGATCAGTGAGTTAGCGCAGGTAGCATTTTGGTTAGCATTGCTAACCACCGTGTCCTTTAGAGTCATCGATCCAATCAGGATTCAGCATTTCTACAAACTACCAGCTGGTCCTAAAGACATCCGATCCGCTGGTTCTGTTTAGTTCATCACGTTACTAATGTGCTGATGGACCTGATAATAAGAACAATGTTTCTGCTCTGTGACATCAGCAGCCTGCGCAGCGTTCTGATTGGTCCTTACCAGGCCGTAGGCGGTGCTCCGCTCGTGCTCCTCGGTGACGTCGGCGACGTAGGCGAAGATCACGGAGAACGTCACGGCGAACGTCCCCGACACGGAGATCAGAGCAAAGTACCACCTGGAGAGACCGAACCGGGTCAGACCGAACCGGGTCGGGTCTGCGGCATCGAGCAGAACTTTATGGAAGGAAATGAAGTTTCATCTAGAGTCCAGCTCAGAATCAGGGAGGATTTACCCGAGACCAGAACCGGACCAGAACCTCTCTGCTTTCACATGACCTCTGACCCGGTTCCACCTGGTTCTGAGTCGTTTTGAGTTCAGCTGATTTTTTCTCTTGTTTTGTGTGATTTATAGATTTCAGAAATATTTGCAGCGGTATTTCGGCTCATGTAATGTACCGGTTGTTCTGTAGGAAACACTGCCACCTGCAGGTCGGAGCTGACAGCGACTGAAATAGAAAGGCCAGGTTTGTTGATTTGACGTGAATTTCTGTAAAAAAGTGATAAATTTGTCTTTAGTTGAACCGGTTCATGTTAGTAAAACATGGAGCCAAAACAGATTTAGTGAAAAAAACAGGAAGTTTGTCACATTTTGATTCTTAAACTTTTTATGGATGTGGAATTGCCACAGAAATTGTTGCAATTAAGAATGTTATGAAACTAGTGTTGAGTCAAATGATGGTAATGGAGAAATACAATTTTAATTCTAACATTTAAAAGTGGAAAACATTTTAAATATCCAAAATAAATAAAACGAACTAAAAATAATTTGTTGAAGAAAAATTGAAGAAAAATGAACAAAGCAAATTATTGATTTTGTTTTGATTTAATGCGTTGAATTAATTTATTTTGACCGGCTTCCTGAAAGCGGGTCGGCTGCTTCAGAACCCAAAGAGCCGGTTCTGTTCTGCTGAACCGGGTCAGAACTGGAACGGCTGCTGGTTCCTCAGATCCATTCAGTACCAGACGAACTTCTGGGGACTAACAGGACAAAAAGTCCAAATTCAACTTCAGTTTGTACAAACAGACACCTGGAGGGAGCTGACCTTTGACCTCTGGCCCAGCAGGGGGAGCCAGAGGCCTGCACCCGCTCACGAGGAACATGTGACGGTTAAACCCGGCAGAACCTCAGAACCGGAACCCGCCCGGGTTCCACATTGGAAATTTCTGCTTCATCAGAACCTGAGAAACTTCAGAACCGGGACGGGATCCGATCCGCAGCTCAAACATCCCGACATTTATAATCATTGGTTCTGATCCAGAAACTTTGAGTCGGACTCGGAACCAGAACCGGACTCACCAGGGGCTGATCCTCATGAAGGGGATCGGGGCGCAGGTGAAGAAGACGGTGATGAGGAGGAAGGACTTCCTGCCCCAGGTGTCTGACAGAGCACCAATCAGAGGAGCCGACAGGAAGGACAGGAAGCCCTGAGGACAGAGAGACGGCCGTTAGAGACCGGGTCCGGCCGGTTCCGACCCGGCCCGGACAGTGATGTGAAACCCAGTGGTAACAAACGGGACGCAGAGCGCGTTCCATTTCTATCCACACCAAAGTTTCTGATTTGAATCATTTTTTTCAAGTTATTTTAATAACTTCTGTAATTTGTGGAGAATCCAACATCGCTTCAGATTTAATCTGGTCAGGCGGGTCGGAACCAGACGGATGGTTCTGGGAGGGAAAGTCGGGTCTGCAGGGAGGAGGAAGTGCTGCATGATTCTACTTCCTGTGGTGATTAAGCCCCGCCCCCTCACCTTGACGCCGTGCACCAGGCCGTTCATCAGGAAGGTGTGCTGAGGGAACGTCTCATGGAGAACCTGGAGAACCGGACCACAAGAAGTCAGCCGACCCGAAGCCCGGTCCCGGTTCTGTCTGAACCGAACAGAACCGCCGACCCGGCTCTCACCTTCAGCATGGGCGTGGTCAGCAGGCCCCAGGCGAAGAACTCCAGGAAGATCACCACCACCGCATGGGTCACCCTGGCCCGGGTCCGCTTCAACTGAGGAGAGACCAGAACCGGGTCAGAACCACTCAGAGCCGGGTCAAAACCACCCAGAACCGGGTCAGAACCACTCAGAGCCGGGTCAGAACCACTCAGAGCCGGGTCAGAACCACTCAGAGCCGGGTCAGAACCACTCAGAGCCGGGTCAAAACCACCCAGAACCGGGTCAGAACCACTCAGAGCCGGGTCAGAACCACCCAGAGCCCGGTCAGAGCCCGGTCAGAGCCGGGTCAGAACCGGTTCTGGGTCTAGCAGATCAAACTCGGATCCAAACAGGAAATGGAGGAACTGATTCATTAACCTGTTTCCTGGTGATGCGTTTAAGGACAGAGCAAAGTGGGAATTTTCAGTTTAATATGTTTATTACATGGAGAGGTTTCATTAAAGAGTGAATAAATACATTTTGTTAATAATAAATCAATAATAATTACTCCAGCAAATGAACAAATCAATGCCCCAGGAAATAAAAGCTGTAAGGTCCTGAAAGACAGGATGTAGCTTTTCAAAATAAAATAGTTCTTGTTTTACTTCATGTGGACATTATGTTCCTGTATGAAAGATGGTATTAATGTGTTAAGTTCTGACGGAGCCCAGCAGTTCTTCATCTGACCCGTTTGTGAGACTAAAGTTTCTTTATGTCTCACAAAAAGAAACGGTTTAAAAATAATAAAAAAATAATCCAGAAAACATTTCACTCTCCAGAATTTGCTCTTATTTAAATGATTATAAGGAAAATTCTGCTTGTAATAAAACATAAAGATATTATATTAAATCAGAACCCGGGTCAATCCACAGCTTCTGGGTCAGAACCAGGAAACCTTCCAGTTCTGTCCCGATCTAGTTCTGCAGCAGCGGCCCGGTCCAATCCGTAGTGTTAGGTAAGCAGGACGGATTCGGTCTGTTTGAGCTGCAGCAGCTTCCTACTGGACCGGACCGGACCGGACCGGACCGATGCTGATCCAGGACCCAGCTGCAGTTTAAACTGGACCGGGTCAGAAACTTTGTGCTGCAGGCCAGAACCAGTCTGAACAGAACCGGGCCGGAAGTTCTCGTTTCTGTTGAAGTTAATGAGCCGTTAGCGCTCAGATGCTAACGGCTCATTAGCTTCAGGAAGTGGAGCATAAAAGCAGCGCTGTTCCTCTGCAGACTGAGCCGGATCACATGACCAGAGATCAGCTGGCTGTCGGCAGCACAGGGTCTGCATTCATCAGGTCAGAGGTCAAACTGAGCCTCCTCCCTGATGTGCTGAACTCCCAGAATGCAGCAGGGTTTCTGTCAGATCTCTGTTTCCTCTTGGGTCAGAACATCTGATCCGCCTGCAGCTGGGAGGCTCTGCATCGTGTTTATCATTTCTAACAGTGGATCTGATGAAACCAACTTGTTCCTCCACGTCTTCCTGCCGGTGATGCGAGCAGCAGCCATGTTGGAACGTGAAGTTAGACGTTTTAACTGGGAGGTCGGAGTCGCTCCCAGTTTCCCAGTAGAAAATCAGAATTGGTTTCTCCACTTCTGACCACAACTGGAACGCATCGCGTCCTCAGCTTGATTCCACAGAAGAAGATGTCTCCTTCAATCTGGTTCAGGGTCATGACCTTTGACCTGTGGAGTTCTGGTGATTTCTCCGAGTTTCACACTGTGACCTCTGATCTCAGGCTGAATCTGCTGGGACATCAGATGTTTTCCTCTCTGGAAGATGATGATGATGATGATGGAGATGACCTTTGACCTTTCAGCACCAGTCTATTTTCCCTCTTCAGTTCAAACTGTCCTTTTTCAATCATGGATCATATTTTATATTAAAAACAAGAATAAAATATGAATTTAACTCATTTAAACCATTTCACCCATCAGCAGCTCCAGATTACAGTTCATTCCATTTAATCTGAAAATAACATCAACATTTATTCTATAGAAAGGCACTAAAGAGTTTATTTGGTTATTTTGCTGCTGTGTTTGAAAGAGGTTCGTCCAGCAAGAATCAGAACAAGCTGATGGTTCTGGTTCGTCCAGCAGGAACCAGAACCAGCTGATGGTTCTGGTTCGTCCAGCAGGAACCAGAACCAGCTGATGGTTCTGGTTCGTCCAGCAGGAACCAGAACCAGCTGATGGTTCTGGTTCGTCCAGCAGGAACCAGAACCAGCTGATGGTTCTGGTTCGTCCAGCAGGAACCAGAACCAGCTGATGGTTCTGGTTCGAGGCGGGAGATCCGGAGTCATCATTAGCCGGAGAATGAAGTTGGTGTCTGGTTCAGAGCTGGTGGAAAACTGAATTAAATTAAATTAGCTCTAGTCAATAATCCGAGAGAAAATCTGGATTAAATATTTCAGTCAGCTTCTATGAAACATTTCTACATATGTGAAACGTTCACTTTACTGTAGAAACAGAATTTCTTCAGAACAAACGTTGTTCTGGGAAACATTTATATTTTATCTCAGAAAAAAGACAAAATGAGCAGAGAATTGAGATGTTTTTCCTTCTTCAAGCCACTTTAGAGATCTGTCTAAAAAATATCAAAACTAGTGAAGCTTTGGCTTGTAAAGTGACACATTCTAGTTTAGATCAATCTTTAGACATGGATCATCTTATTCTAGGGCTTTAAAAGGTGAAGGGTCATTGCTATGAATATTTAATTCAGTTTTTCACATACTAAATGAAAGTCTTGTATATTTTATAGGACCGAGTAAGGTGGTCCAGATGTAATCGCAGTAATATTTTAGCTTTTTAACAGGAAATGAAGGGACTTCCAGGTTCCTTGAAACTGTGAGCTGGCCCTTTAAGGGCTAACTCTGCGAACCAGAGGCTAACTTCTACACCGGAAGAAGCGACTATGGTTCATCTGAACAGTTTAATCTGCCAGAACTGCGGATTAAAATCAATCCATGCGTGTTTTAATTTAGCGCCACACACCGAGCCCAGTTCCCGGAGCTAACCCGGCTAACACTCACCGAGCTCCGGACCAACATCCTGCCGCCGGCCTCGGTCTCCGCTCTCTGCCGGGGCGCCTCACATCTTGCTGGAACGACTTTCAGCTCCAGTCCTCGGAACTGAACATCCTCCTGAGATTTCTCCGTCTTTTCCAGGATGTCCCGCCGTGTGAATGAGGCTCCGTGCTCTCCGTGACGTATTCCGGTTCTGTTCGCTGTGAAGCCCGCTGGAGTCGCTCAGCTTTCGGTTTGACGAGAATTCCTCCGCTTTGATTGTAACTTTACCTTCCGTCTGTTTGGTTTGTTCGCGGGGGTACGGCAGAGGGGCGGGGATGATTTTTTTCATGACACTATTGGAGTGGGCGGGCAGCACCCGCCCGACTTGACAGTCCCTGTAACCAAAACAAACCCAGCTGGTCCTGGATCAGCTCCACTTGCGCCTGTCACGGGTTTAAAATGTTATGAGATCTGACTCAGGATCAGCATCAGCCCTACTGTAAACACAACGAGCAAATCGCCCCCTGCTGGACGGAAGCTGTCACTACACTGCAGACACCGTTTCATTAAATCAGCAACTTTAAAAAATAAAGTTTATGTTAAAAAACACGTCCTGGTGCCCTTAAATAAAATGTCTGTTTAAACTGCAGCTTGCGCTGCGTCTGCGGCACAAGCAGTGGGGACACAGGAGTCAGTATTTGGCAGGAAGATCCGGTGTCTTCGTCTAGTAGGGCTCACTATTTGGCCAGAGGCAGAAAGGCGGGACTCGACGGTTGAAGAATTTTTTGGCTCCACTGAAAACCTGCACGCATGCACCGAGCCAGTCCACGGAAATGAGCAGGGTGGGTTCCTGTCTGGGCTGTTCAAAATAATATCAGCCTGTCTGGGAATGACGAGTCACTCATTTAAATGATCCGTCCTGACGTTGGAAAAGTCACAACTAGATTTTTGAGTCAGAATGCAGAAAAAAGGAGAGGCCCCAAAATGAAACCCTGGGGAACCTCACATGTCATACCTCTGATCACAGATATCATATAAATATAATTCAGATGAAATTGGGAAGAAGTAAAAGTTTGCAAATGCAAAAAGAGCATTTATGTAACAGGAAGAAACCTTCAGCTCGGAGTTTCACACAGATTCAACTGAAGTTCAGGAATATTCACAGTCAGAAAGAATAAAATGTACCTGGAAAATGAACTGAGAAGAGAAACTAGACTAGAAAAGATGCTTACTGCAGCAGAAAGGAGGAAACACATCTTCCAAAAAAATATCAGAAACTATAAATGTTTTACTACTTTTAAAATAAAATAATCAAGAATTTTATGAAATTTAACTCAAAATTTCAGATTTTTTCTGTAACATTTGGCCTTTTCCAGCTCATGAAGTTTTTTCTAGAACATTCCTGAGATTGATCTAAAGATATTTCATTTTTTCTCTGACATTGCTCATGTTTTCATGAAAAAGTGTTGCTTGTGTCAGAGCTGCGCAGTGAAAGTCCCCGGATCAGGTTTTCCTCCCGGGCTTTTATTGTGAAGGGCGGCGCCAGACTTTCCCGCCCTCCCTCCATCTTGGCGCAGCCAGCTTGACGCAGCGGAGCCTCAACGGAGGCAGAGCGGATCAATCTGGAGCTTCGGCGGCTGATTGGGATCATGCGGCAGCGCTGACCGCCGTGTCGGTGAGTACCTGCGGCCCGCGGGGCCCGCGGCGGACCCGGGCCCGGAGCCGCGGTTCCGGTCCAAGGGTTTCCTGCGGAGCCGCCGCTCGGCGCCGTGTTTCTCCCCGGCAGACCCCACACCCCCCACTCTGCCTTTGTTCGCTTGCGCCTTTTCTTGCGCCTCTGCGGGTTTTGGTAAATAGTGGCGCAACGTGGCCGCCGCGCTGCGGGGGGGTGCAGTTTGCGGTGCGCAGTTTTTCTGCGGGTTTTGTCGTGTGCGTGGGAGCGGCGGTTTGCGCTGTTGCTGCGTGTTTTTAGCAGACTTTGCGTGACCTCTGGATGGACATCTTCATCATCCTCAGCAGTCAAAACAAGCAGCAAGTCCTCCTCATGGCGCCGAGCGGCCGCCTGGGGGCGCTGCAGCCGCTGGACGGGTTTGTGCTGATGTGATCAGTCCCAGCAGAGCCGGTCCCACCGCCTCCAGGACCCGGGCCTCCTGGGCCCCGGGGGGCCGGATTTACATGAGGCTCGCAGCTAAAATGTTTGTCACTTCCCACACTTTTCCCCAGGAAAAGAAATAATTATCAGAGCTGCTCTCAAGTCAAAATATAACCAGATTGTTGTTGTTTTTGAGTCATTTTAGGACACATTTCCACATTATTCATATTTTGGCTGATGATGAGGAAGAATAACAGATTAAAAACAGTTTCTGATTTTATTATTTTAACCAGCAGAAATGCAAAGCAATTATTAAAGATAATGTGATGCATGATTCATTGCAATTATCTACAAATTACAAACTGTTTTTCTGACTTTGGGTCACAACTATTCACCACAGAATTTCAGTTTTTAAACCTACATACAAAACGTTTGTGTCTATTACGTTTTTTTTTTATAGTTTTTTTCCAGGAAAATGGAAAGATGACAAACATTTGGTGATTTTAGCCACTAATTGTTTTAGTGGTTAAAATAACTTCAAAATAAGAGCACGAATCTAAATAGATTCTTAACTTTAACTGAAAGTTTATGAAACAACCCGGGAAATGTTTTAGGATTTATCTACAAAAACTTGTTTACTGGGAAACAGCGCTAGCTAAGGTGCTACATGAAGATTTGCTGCTAGCATGTTAGCGCAGGTGTTCCCACCACGGGTTCAGAACTGCAGAACCGGAGAGCGGATGAACCACAGCGCCCCCTGCTGCCCATCGCCGCTACGGCGGGAGCAGGAAGCAGGTTTCCATGGTAACAGCCGTGAACGTTTGATTGGCAGACCTGAGAGCCTCTTTGCGTCTCAGAACCTGAACAGGAAGTCGGCGGCCCCCTGACCTGCAGCTGCAGCTGCTGCCGCTGCTGCTGCTGCTGCTGCTGCCGCTGCTGCAGCATGCGCTGCGGCTTCTGCCGACTTCCTGCTGGGTCCAGCTGCTCTGGTACCAGAACCGGGGTCCACCAGAGTCGCTGCTGATCAGTTTTTGATGTTCAGTCTGAGCTCTGGCTTCTTAAAGGGACAGTGCGCTCAGTGCGTTGAAAAGCAGTTTGGGTTCTGATCCAGTTCTGATGCGATCAAACAGAACTGTGATCCGGTTCTGGAGAATTTTAACATTCATGTTTGTTTTTTGTTTGTTTGTTTTGTAGAAAATCTTCCTGCCGTTTCCAGTTTGAGTCCAACAGCCTGACGTCCCCCAGTGCTCCCAGCCTCCAGGCCATAGACCGATCCTGACCTGGATGAGACGTCTCACCGGATCAGACTAATTCCTGGTTCACCTCCTCCCTTCGCTCCCTTCCCTCCCCCTTCCTCCTCCCTCCCTCCTTCCTCCCCCCCCCCCCTCCCCGATCTGAGTCCAGGCTCAAAGCAGCGTCCTGATTGGCTGTCCTTCCCCCACCTCCCCCCCCCACCGCCCTCAGGTGGATGAATGAAGACTCCGTTTAAGAGCCCAGCGGCGCCGCGGCCCCGAGCGGACGGGGGTGAGTTGGATCAGTACCGTAACACTCTGCTGGCGCCCCCTTCAGGCTGAGGCAGGGTCGTGACCTCAGGCTGAGGCAGCGCCCCCTTCAGGCCGACTCAGGCTCCTGTTTCTGTTTCAGGACATCCAGGCGTCTCTGCAAACATGATGAAGAAGAAGAATCCACACAAGTTCGTCCAGAAGTGATTTTATTGAAACCAGATTATCTAATCTCAGCTTTAATCTGAATCCGTTCAGATCTGTAATCTCGGGTTTTTGTCCGCGTCCCGGCAGGAAGCAGAGGACCAGCGTTGGACCCAGTAAGACGCTGGTTCCGCCCAGGAGGAACATCGTGGGCTGCCGGATCCAGCACATCTGGAAGGAGGGCAGTGAGTAGGCGACCTCTTGACCTCTGGACCTGCGGGTCGCTCGGTGTTGACGTGTCCGCTGTCTCTCCAGGTAAATCGTCCCAGTGGAAGGGGACGGTTCTGGACCAGGTTCCGGTCAACCCGTCTCTCTACCTGATCAAGTACGACGGTTTCGACTGCGTCTACGGCCTGGAGCTGTACGCCGACGAGCGCGTGGTCGGCCTGGAGGTTCTGCCCGACAGAGTGGGTGAGTTCTGCCGGGTCCAGATGGGTTCTACCGGGTCCAGATGGGTTCTGCCGGGTCTAGATGGGTTCTGCCGGGTCCAGATGGGTTCTGCCGGGTCCAGATGGGTTCTACCGGGTCCAGATGGGTTCTGCCGGGTCCAGATGGGTTCTGCTGGGTCCAGATGGGTTCTACCGGGTCCAGATGGGTTCTGCCGGGTCCAGATGGGTTCTGCCGGGTCCAGATGGGTTCTGCCGGGTCCAGATGGGTTCTCGTTATCGTTAAAAGTTGTGGTTTAATTTTTGTTCTGAAAGAAAAAGTTCTGACCCACATGAACAGAGCTTTGTCCGGTTCTGGTTGGTCCTGCCAGCTTAAGGTCGACCCAACAGAAACAGACTGGAGACCCTTAAAGGTGCCAGTTTTTGCACCAGCTGATGTAAACATGAATATGACGTCATCACACACAGGAGCCGCCATCTTGTTTCTGTTTGTTGCACTTGTCTGGACGTTGGAGTCGAGGTGAACCGTAGTTCTGGTAAAGACGGAATCGGTCTGGGTCGGCACCGTCGGTTCTAGAGCCGAGCCTGACCTGCCGCTCTCTGATTGGTCCAGCTCAGGCCCGGGTGAGCGACTCGCTGCTGGCGGAGACGATGATCGGGAAGGCGGTGGAGCACATGTTTGAGACGGAGGACGGGCCGAAGGAGGAGTGGAGGGGGATGGTTCTGGCCCGCGCCCCCATCATGACCACCTGGTTCTACATCACCTACGAGAAGGACCCGGTTCTGTACATGTACCAGCTGCTGGACGACTACAAGGAGGGCGACCTGCGCATCATGCCCGACTCCAGTGAGTGTCAGAACGTGGAGTCCGGATCTGGACTGGTCTGGTCCGGGTTTGGGTTTGATCCAATTCAGGTTTGAGTCTGATCCGGTCCAGCTTTGGGTCTGAGCCGGTCCAGGTTCGGGTCTGATCCGGTCCGGGTTCGGGTCTGATCCGGTCCGGGTTCGGGTCTGATCCGGTCCGGGTTCGGGTCTGATCTGGTCCGGGTTCGGGTCTGATCCGGTCCGGGTTCGGGTCTGATCCGGTCCGGGTTCGGGTCTGATCCGGTCCGGGTTCGGGTCTGATCCGGTCCGGTTCGGGTCTGATCGGGTCCGGGTTCTGGTCTGATACGGTCCGGGTTCGGGTCTGATCCGGTCCGGGTTTAGGTCTGATCGGGTCCAGTTCCGAGTCTGATCCGGTCTAGGTTCTGGTCTGGATCTGGTCCGGGTTTGGGTCTGATCAGGTCCGGGTCCGGGTCTGATCCGGTCGGGTCTGATCAGGTCCGGGTCCGGGTCCGATCCGGTCCAGGTCCGGGTCTGATCCGGTCCGGGTCTGATCAGGTCCGGGTCCGGGTCTGATCCGGTCCGGGTCTGATCAGGTCCGGGTTCGGGTCTGATCCGGTCCGGGTTCGGGTCTGATCAGGTCCGGGTTCGGGTCTGATCCGGTCCGGGTCTGATCAGGTCCGGGTTCGGGTTTGATCCGGGCCAGGTCTGATCAGGTCCGGGTTCGGGTCTGATCCGGTCCGGGTTCGGGTCTGATCTGGTCCGGGTTTTGTGTCTGCAGATGAGAACGTGGCGGCGGAGCGGGAGCCGGGCGAGGTGGTGGACAGCCTGGTGGGGAAGCAGGTGGAATACGCCAAGGAGGACGGCGGGAAGCGGTCGGGGATGGTCATCCACCAGGTGGAGGCCAAGCCCTCCGTCTACTTCATCAAGTTCGACGACGACTTCCACATCTACGTCTACGACCTGGTCAAGACCTCCTAAGGCCCGGGCGTCCAGACAGCGGCCGGACTTCGTAGCTCCTTGTTTCTAGAGACGCCTTAACGCGAAGGACGCGGCGCCACCGTCATGGACTCTTCGACCAAACGGCTGGAACCTGCCTTGGGTTTCCAGATTATCGCGGCACAAGCATCCGTCTGTACTGAGCTTCTCCTTCCCGTGACTCCATCCGGAGGATTGCCCCGTTCCTGACGGCCCTCTGGACGCGAGGCGGGGCGTCTGAGCCCAATGGGGTCAATGACGGGGCGGGGCGGCGTCTGGAGCGCGGATCCCGACCGCTCTGCGTCTGGGCAGAGAAACAACGTTCCCTCTGAAATTTGTGCCAAACTGTTGAACTTTTCTAGAGCGTCGCTCCGACCGGCTGGTTTTCCTGGAGCGCCATCCGGATTATTCCGCATTTATACTGTAACGGTTTTCCACATGCCCCGCCCCCTGTCTTCTAAATGTGGACAATCATGACCTCATATCGTATAAACCCAGATAACGGTGAATTTTAGACCCTCTGGCGTTTCCAGGATCTGCTTCTGGACCGAGGAACCTTCCAGATTCCAGAGCCGAGCCTGGAAGACCACAGACGGTTTTCCCAACAGATCCCTGGAGTTTCTAACAGTCCGATCCAGATGATCCAGATCAACTGATCCTGGAGTTCCCAGTGGCATCTGTTGATCCAAAGATGATCTGGATCAGTGGATCCTGGAGATCCAGATCAACGGTTCCTGGAGTTTCTGATGGAGTCTGTTGGTCCAGATCAGTGGATCCTGGGTTCCTATCGATGAGCCGAGTTGCTGCTGTTGTAGTTTCCAGTGTTTTTCTTGTACAGTGATATTATGTTGGTGCGTTGGACGTCTCCGGTTCCTCTGTGTCGGTTCCGTTCCCAGTTGGTCCGGACTCGTTGCCCGGCTCTGGACGGCGGCGCTCTGCAGCATCCGGGTGTTTGAAGGAAGTCCTGCTCGTTTCTCTGATGCGGCCCGTCTTCGGTTTCCCTCGCAGCCACGTTGCCTGATCCTCATCTCATGTGCCTGAAGGACGGATCCAGACATTCCTGCTGGCCGGGTTGGGAAGCCGGTTGGGAAGCGTCGTTCACGGCTCCGGCGTTCCTCTGGGTGGACTGCTGAGGTTTTCCAGGTTTCTAACCTGCTGAACATCCAGTTCACCCCGAAACCCAAATGGTCCAGCGTCGCTTCTTCTCCTCCAGATCTCTGAACTGAAGCCAGGTTTTAATTTTGATTCAATTAAACTCAAACCTTTGTTTTTTTTTTTTAGAATTCTGTGAAAAACTTTAATTCTAACTTTTTTCTGAATTCAGACTTTTGTTCTCTGAATTCTCGCTGTGATCACATCTTTCAGTTTTGTTCCCAGATTTCTAACTTTAATTTCTGTCAGAATTGTTTCCATGTTTTTCAGTCAATCTCATCTTAAAACTCAAATCTGTTCTGACTGTCGAGCCCAAATTCTGAGATTAGAATCAGAATCTGTTTTTTACGTTTCAGTGGTTCTAATTTTCTTCCTCAGAAACATTCGGACACATTTTGTTCATGTTAAGAAACAAACAGCTTGGAAACCTGGAGCTAATCTGGTGGGATGTTGGAGTAACGTCAGGATCTGGGATTAAAGTGGATCTTTTTAACTAATTGAAATTGCAGATGATTTTTTTCTCGGACTTGATTTATTGGATCTTTATAAGAACTGATGTTCTGGTTCTGGGAGCAGCTGAATGAATCTGTTGGGTTCAGGTCAGATTTCTTTTTAGCGTTTTATTTCCTGGAGCTGCAGCCAGCGTTAGATTTGTTATTCTTTTTTAAGGTATATGCCAGTTTTTCAAAAGATTTTTCTGACGGTTTCCTTTCAGGCGACTGGAGTTTCGTTCCTTCAGATGAAACCTGAACGTTTTTCGGTTGACGGTTTTCAGGAAACATCTGGATGAAATGTTGGCTGAAGGGATCCTGATGTTTCATTTCAGTTGTTTTCACTCCAGTTTCCAGAATGTTGAAGATTAATTGAATTGAAAAGTTCCAGCTTTCATGACTGCATTTGGATTCAGTTCCTTTTTCAGAATCACTTTCCATATCGTATTTGATTGATTTTTTTCCAAAATCATGGCGATGAAACGTGGTTTCCTGAAAACGGCGCCGCCGGTTTCAGAACGGGTCGATTTGAACTGATCCAGGCCGGTTCTGGAAACAAACAGTTTGTTTCATGAAGCCGTTTTCATCTTTATGGTTCAGATTCTACAACTTGTGAAATCCACACCTGTCGAGTCTGTTATGTATTTCTAAAGCAATCAGATTTTCACCGATGACATTTTTTTCTAGATGGTCAAAAATCCACATCAAAATGGAGGCCATAATTTCAGAACTCTACTAAATGTCTAATGGAGTTAATTAGAGGGTCTGTCGTTAATTAATAAAACTTTATTTGACTAAATAAGCAACATTTTCAATTCACAATCTTTTTCTCTTAAATAACAAACAGATGAGTTTTTATTCTGTCCTTCAACCATCAGAACGCTGACATTAGCGTTAGCTGCTACATGGTTAGCATTGATTGCTACTTTAGCCTTAAGTATCTTCACTGACATGCTAACTCCCTCTAACACAACTTGAACACAACAGCAGTCTTTTCCAGACGAAATGAAACCCTGCTGGCTGAGAAGCGCATGTCCGCCATCGCTGCTGTTAGCTTGTGCGTCAGTTTTATGGCCGTACTAGAAATGCTCCAATACAAAGGTTCCAGCCGGAATATTTATGTAAAAAGACAGAAAAAAGAATAATTGTCTTAAATTTTAATCAAAACATTTTCTATATACTCAAATTTGATTTTATCTTATTACCCATCTGGATTTTCTAGAGAATTCCTTAATTACAGAAGCTACATGTTGTAGTTTTAGAGCAGATGAAATGTTGATGGGTTTAAGCAGCTCTTGAAAATGTAACTTTCCAGAACATCGGGTCTGGATAAATCTGTCCTTTAATCCATAAATCATCAGATTTCCCAGGTTTTCACATCATCAGATTTATTCCTGGTTTCTGGTTCTAGAGGGTAAATGTAGCTGTTCAGCTCCAGGAAGTGAATCCAGATGAAGCTCCTCTGCTTCCGGTGACTCCAGGGTCGGGTTGATGAGATCCTCGATGTTTTCCAGAAACTCTGGATCTGTTGTGTGATTGGACGTGTGTGCTGTAGCGCCGCCTCTGTTCAGATAGTGTCACTGCATGCTGCTTTTCTCGCTCTGTGGAAACTGATGTGTTGCATGTTTGTCGGTTTCAGTTGTTCGGTTCTCGCCTGTCTGTCGTGGCTTTTTGGTGCCTCTTGTTTCCTTTGGTTTGTTTTGTACCTTTAGCTCCCCCTGGTGGGCTGAAGCACTTATTGGTTGTTGGATAAAATAAAACCCCCGACCAGCGGAAGTGAACTTCAGCAGGTGAACTTGTGGAAATGTTGCAGAGGTGGCTGTAAATTTGATGTTTCAGAGTGCCAACTGCAGATGCCAGTGTTGTACAGCCGTGTAAAGCTCTAACTATTTACATGAATAAAAACCTGTTTTTCATACATGTTTTGTCTCTTATTCTCTGATTCACTTCAGATTATAATCTGTCATTCATGTTTGTACAACCAGAGATATGAAAGGAAGCTAAATATTGCTGGAGTACAACTCAAAAATAGTCAATGTTTATGAAAATATAACTTTCATATACAAACAAACAACTATTGATAATTCAAATTAAAGTTTCAGTTGAATTGCAATTCAAACATTGATCACAGTTTGTGATCAACGTGGCAGAATGCAAATAAAAACTCTAACTTTTATTCTGAAATAATTTCATGTTGGTGTTTTCTGTAGTTGTTTCGTTATTTATTGGTAGATTGGGGTTTAATCTCGTTGAAGGACTGGCTACACACTGCTGGTGTTTCACTTCTGACCACCAGGTGTCGCCTTAGACACCGTTTTATTCCCATGATGCATCTCTCCTGATCTGTTCACTCTCTCCACTTTAAGGCCTTCGCATCTGGAGCTGCTGGTTCAGTTTGGTCTTTGTGTGTCGGGTTTATTTGTCCCAAAAATCCGGGAGGCTTAATCTGGAGGAGAAAGAGAAGAAGAACGAGTTTAGGGAAACCGTGAGTCAGAGAGTCAGAGCGGAGCTTGAAGAAGGCTGGCCGCCATGTTGGTTGTCGATCCTTTCGGTTCATGAACGTGATGATTGGTTGATTCACAGGCAATCTGTGAGGAGGCGTGGCCTAATCCTTGTTACGCAACGCGCCTTCAGACCGTCTGATCCTGAACCGAAGTTCAACATAAAACTACAGGAATGAATTAAAGATGAACATCACGAAACTTCCGATGTTTCTACTTCCCTGCTGAATTAGAGACAAACTGAAAACTGCTGTAGTTTAGTTATTGTATTAAAATACAGCCAAGACTGTGAACAAATGGAACAAGTTGAACTATGAGGAAAATGATTTCACCTATTTATAAAAGTTAATATTACAGAGTCTGTTTTTCCAGTTAAATTATAAAAAAGAACATGAATATAAAGAAGCCCAAAGCACAAAATATTTAAAAAATAATTCAGAATGATTGAAAATACGTCTTTATTCTATCTCAGTATTATTTATTGTGTATATTTATTTTGTGCTATATGTATTTATTATCTGATTATTTTCAAAACAGCATAATTTTAAATGGAACAATAGTTTGACTCCAAATTAAAGACATTTTTAAAAGATTGAAAAACATACTTCACCTATCAGTTTTTAAAAACAATTTATAAATAAATGTTTAAATTCTTTAACATGTTTTCCTGGTTTGGAGATAATGTTCTGTTTATTTTCAGTTCACTAACTACATAAAAACATAAATATCGTTCATCACCGGTAATCAGTAGTTTAGGAATTATCGCGAGACTTCTTCACGCTGTCTCCAGGCGCTGCACGAGATTTACAGCTAAACAAAGATGGAGTCCTCCTGATGGTCCATGTGGCTCCACGGATCTCAAACCCTCCCAAACATTAACTTATCTTACTAAAGTCCATCGGAACCAGTCAGTGAATCAGCGAGGATCTCTGAGAGGAAGTCAGGATGCAGCACGACGACGTGAGTTTGATAACTTCCTCTGACGCTGAACAGAGGCTCGGTTTAGCCTCAAAGCTAACGCTAGCCACCGGTAAACCTTTAAAACCGAATAATAGCCACCGGTAAACCTTTAAAACCGAATAATAATCAATCAGCTGATGAAACACTGCTCTGTTATTAATACTTATGTCTGTTTATTATACCCTGTGTGGATATTAGAGGTTATACATTAGCTACATTTAATTTTTTCGGAACAATTTTTCTCCCGTTAGAGGCCAACAGACCTCATTGGAAAAGTCTAAAAATTAAGTTGAACCGGGTTTAGTAGAAATAAAATGAAAAGTCAGAACAGAGGTGGAGGTCGGGATTGTTCGCGGTTCGTATGAAGATAATATCGGGGGGAGTAAAGTTTCACATTTTTGTCACGTGGGTCCAGTAAACAACCTTAAAACTCCGCCGTCCCGTCCAGAACCCCAGAGCCGGTCCTCGTTTTCCTTCCGGTGATCCAGAGTTTCCCGGAAGCTTTGAGAGGGTTCTGCTCTGACACACCTGAACCGAAAGGCTGGATGACCTCCAGTCATTAAGATCTGCACAGGCCCGCTTGGTTCTGATGGTTTGGGTCAGGAGTTAAAGAAGTAAAACAATAACAGCATTTGTTGGGGTGTGAAATGTATATCCGCCACACTGATCTCTAAAATCAGATGTTCTGATCGTTTTGGACCGCTCTGGATCTGTGTAACCTTTGAACTCTGCCCTCTGCAGGTCATCTGGGACATCATTGGAAACAGACAGTTCTGCTCCTTTAAAGTCAAGTAAGTTCTGAGGCGTTCTCCCGCAGTCCGGTTCTGACTGGACCCGACCCAGTCCAGAGAAATTCTGCCTGGATTCGGCTCAGGAGGTTCTGAGTTTGGTTCTGAGTTTGGTTCCTTGTGCAGTGTAAAGTGGACCAGAAACACAGAAACTAAAAGTTTAGTTTTTTGCTGTTGCTGCCCTGCTGGGATGTTTAATGACTATGTTACAATATTCTGGTTTAATACAGTAAATTTTTGCCTTTATTCTTGGAAAATGTAATTATTTTTTGGTCCATTTTTTTGACCAAGAGAATATCTGAATGATTAGGAATGTCTGCGTCGTTCTGGAGAAAACGTCTGCAGATTTACCTCCTTCCATCCATCAGAACCCTGACCACTCTCTGACCACTCTCTGTTCTTCTCCCGGATCAGAACCAAGGGCGGGAACTTCTGCCGGAACGAGTTCAACCTGACGGGGTTGTGCAGCCGCGCGGCGTGTCCGCTGGCCAACAGTCAGTACGCCACCATCAGGGAGGAGAAAGGTCAGCACCCTCACCGGACCGGGCTTCGACCCGACCCGGCCCGGTTGGAGGTGTAACGGCTCCGTGTTCTGTTGTAGGTCAGTGTTTCCTCTACATGAAGGTGATCGAGCGTGCGGCGTTTCCGGCCCGGATGTGGGAGAAGGTGAGACCATCATCATCCTCGCGATGAAGAACCTGAGGGTCTCTGTTTTTGACCTTTGAGCCATGAGAAGCAGCTTATTATGGGATGTTCCTCACTGCGGTACGGAAACCTGTCAGCCAATTTAATGATAAAACAAACAAACAAAAAAACATTTTGGACATTCAGCAACTGGACCAAACTGGACCCGACTGGACCAGACTGGACCCGACTGGACCAAACTGGACCCGACCGGACCAGACTGGACCAGACTGGACCCGACTGGACCAAACTGGACCCGACCGGACCAGACTGGACCAGACCGGACCCGACTGGACCAAACTGGACCCGACCGGACCCGACTGGACCAAACTGGACCCGACTGGACCGGACTGGACCCGACCGGACCCGACTGGACCCGACTGGACCAGAATGATCCGGTCAGGGAATTCTCCAGAACCTTCTGCTGGTCCAACTTCAGTCTGTCTGCAGGAATCCCTCAGCTGAACCTGCTTGATCTGCAGAATGTCGTCGGATCTCGAGGGCTCAGTATAATCGGAGTGGTTCCGATCCGAAACCTCCAGCTGTCTATCAGAAACTCAGTCCGACGAGGTTCTGTGCAGTTTGATTCTGTTGGACCATCAGACATCCCCCTGCAGGTTCTGGTAGCTTTGAACCCAGGAAGGAAACGTTTCTCCTTCAGCTCAGAGTTCTGGGTCCATAGAGGGGATTGTTGAGATTGGATCAGAACCGCTGTTTGATCCACTCTTTGGGAACAGGATTGGTCAGTCAGCTTCTGTTGGGCCTTTAGCTTTAGGAAGATCCTTCCAGCCTGGTGTTCTGGTTCTGGTCCTGTGGAAATGTGTTCTGGTTCTGACCCGGTTCTGTTTGTCTGCAGGTGAAGCTGAGCAGAAACTATGAGAAGGCTCTAGAGCAGATCGATGAGAACCTGATCTACTGGCCGCGCTTCATCCGACACAAATGCAAGCAGCGGTTCACTAAGATCACCCAGTACCTGATCCGGATGCGCAAGCTGGTTCTGAAGAGACAGTGAGTTCTGAGGTGCACGGGAACCCGACCAGAACCGGGTCATGCCTCATGTTTGGCGTTTCTCTCTTTCAGGAGGAAGCTGGTTCCGCTCAGCAGGAAGGTGGAGAGCAGAGAGAAGAGGAAGGAGGTAAGACGGACAAACCCGACCAGAACCGAGCCCGGTGCGGCGGTTCTGACCATGTTCTGGGTTCTGTTTGCAGGAGAAGGCTCTGATCGCCGCTCAGCTGGACAACGCCATCGAGAAGGAGCTGCTGGAGCGACTGAAGCAGGGAACGGTACGAGGAGCTGAGCGCTGCCGCCGAGGGTTCTGGTCCGGGTTCTGATCCGGTCAGCATTCTGGACTCAGCTCCTCTCTTTGTTTCAGTACGGAGACATCTACAACTTCCCGGCGTTCGCCTTCGACCGGGCGCTGGAGCAGCAGGAAGCCGAGAGCGAGTCGGACTCTGAGGAGGAGGAAGAGGAGGATGACGAGGTGATGAAGGACGAGCCTGTGATGAGGGGGCGGGGCCAATGCAGGACTTTTATTCTGAAAGATTTCCTGTTCCTGTCTGTAGGATGTTGGGCAGAGCGAGTTTGTAGCAGAAGAGGAAGTGGAGGAGAGCGACCTGAGCGACTTTGAGGTGAGTCAGGCAGGAAGTAGATCCCGGATCACTCCAGGAAGTAGATCCCGGATCAGTCGGTATGGTTCTGACTGGTCTTTGTCTTCAGGACATGAACAAGCTGAAGACGAGCAGCGATGAGGAGGAGCAGCAGGACTCCACTGAGGAAGAGGAGATGGAGGTGGAGACGAAGGCTTCGCGGTCTAAAGGAAAATCTCCGGCCAACGGATCGGCGCCCAGGAGGAAGCGAGCGTTTGTGGAGATCGAGTACGAGACAGAACCCGCCTCCAAGACCAGAACCACGTAGAGATGCTCCGACGGCGTCGGACCAGGACTGCAAGCCCCGCCCTCCACCATGTTGCCATGACAACAACAAAGCCAACGGCACTTTGAGGCCAGTTGGACAGGAGACAATAAAAGTTTATAAAATGTTCCGGATTAAAAAAAATATAAAATCCAACTCAGAAAATGATGGAATAAATCTGATCAGATTTAATCCCTGACTTCCTGTTTCTCTGGGATCAAACATGGCGGCTTCTCCCACAAGAACTTCCTGCTCTCCAGTCAGTCGACGTTTGTCAGTTTTTACACATGATCAATGAAAATACTGTCAAAAATACTTTATACTGTCTGTGTCTGACTGTCTTAGCATTAGCAGAACTGATGTTTATGATCACTGCTTTGGGGAAGTGCAGCTAGCTCTTCAGTTAGCGGTTCCCTCCACTGCCTGCTCTAAACAACCTGAACACTAGATGGCAGCATTTGGCACGTTCCTGTATCTTTAAACTCCTATTTACATGGTTTGTCAGATCAGAACCAAATGTCTCAATCAGGTGAAGGGCTGGTCTCCTGCGACATGTAGATGTTTCTACTTCAGCACATCTGATTCAAATAACGAGGTCGTGAGCCGAATTCTGGTGAACCGGACTGGACTGGAGGCGATTCAGCTGCTGGATTCGAGTCTGTTGTCTTAAGAGGACCGGGGAGGACACCGAGGACCGGGGAGGACACCGGAGGACCAGGACTGTCCACCTGGTCTGAATCATAAACCACAGCAGTCCTGTTGTAACATACAGTATTTATACTTTATTTACAAATAACTGAGTCCCCGCGGTTTAATGAGTCACAGCTGAAGAAGAATCAGAACAATTTCATATAAATAAAAGAATCATGAGAAGCTCCATGGAGGCGCCAGCCGACAGAAAATCAAAAACAGAGAAGAAATGTGCAGCTCATGATGCAGCCAGAGCGCGGCGGTCTGTGTGCGCCCCCTGCTGGCGGGCCGTGGTTAGTGTAGTCATGTCATGCTTCTGTTTTCCTTTGGTGAGCGAAGCTTTAAGGCGGCAGAACCAACAGAACTTTTCCAGAAACCTTCCGACTCTTTGGTCCCGACAAACTAAAGTGCTGAGAAGGAAGTTCATGATGAGGAGGAGGATGATGAAGATGACCTCACTGTTCTGATGATGAGACTGAGGAAGAGGAGGAGGAGGAAGCTGCGTTATAAAAACATGGAGGAGGAGCTGAGCGTCCAATCAGCAGAGAGTTCCCCGGATACGCAAAACTGGACCTGAGAGGCACCAGAACCAGATCAAAACCGGATCAGTGGGTCAGAACCAGATCAAAACTGAATCAGTGGGTCAGAACCGGATCAAAACTGGATCAGAACTGGATCAAAACTGGATCAGTGGGTCAGAACCGGATCAAAACTGAATCAGCTGGGTCAAAAGGGAGTGATGGGTCAGAACTGAACCGGTTCCTTATGGGAAACTGGATCCAAAAAAGCCACAGCAGGTCAAAGGTCAGATTCCTGTCAGTGAGACGCACTTTTAAGATTCATCCGGTTTTTATTTCCAGAAGTCCAGTAAATGTCGGCCCGTCTGGGAGAACCAGAACCCGGTCTTGAAGCGATCCGATCAGTGAACTGCAATGGCTTTAAGCAGGTTCCACTCCGGCCACCGGGGGGCGCCGCCAGGAATCATTTGGCTAAAACCATTTCATTAAAGATCCGGTTCTGGTTCTTCCTGATCCGATGTTATCTGGGCTCACAGCAGAACCGGGCCTGTTAGTTGGTTCTGGAAGAGTCCAATTGAAGTTGATTTTATAAAATATTATTTTAATTAATATTTTAATAATAACTCATTATTATCGTTATTCTCTGTTCTGTGCTGCAGCAGAACCAGCGACCCGGAATCTGGGTGTATCGACTGGATGTTGGACTTTCAGAACCAGGACGATTATTTTTTATTTTTATTATTAAATTGAATAAACATCTGGAGTCGCCAAACCCGGGTCGAGACCAGAACCAAAAGAAACTCGGAACCAGTCAGAAAACCCAGAATTTGTGGTTCAAAAGGTTCTGGATCGACCCGGATGGAAATCCAGATGGTTCTGATTTTTGGGATCTGGACAGCCCGGTTTGGGACCTGGTTCTGTTTTACATGTCTGACATGTGGATGTGGAGCGGTACCGGAGAACCTTCTGGGTTCAGCTGGGAGTCCCTAGTGACCCGGCTTTGGTTCTGATCGGACTGAGGTCTGGTCTTTTGTTCTGAGACGGGTCCGGATTCTGAGCTAGACTGGTTCTGGTACCAGAGGGGGATCAGAGACATGATTTAGTGAAGCTGATTGGATCAGTGATTTGGGTTCTGATGGAACCGGTTGTGGCTCTGCGTGGCAGTGCCGGTCGGGTCCGGTACCGGTCCGGTTCTGAAGCTAGCAGCTGCAGCCCTCCTTGGCCGGCTGGCTGTCGGTGTTGAGCCGGCCGCTCTGCGGCGCCGACGGCTTGTGCTGGACGCCGGACTCGGCCGCGTTCAGGTCCAAACTGCCGTCCTGGATGTTCTGGTAGATCTTCTTGGCCGCCTCCAGGAACGCCTCCTCTACGTTCTCTCCTCTGGGGAACAGAACCAGAACCGGGAGTGAAGCAGCATTTATCACACTAACAGAACCAGAGGTGGCCCGACTCTTACGTCTTGGCGCTGGCTTCCAGGAACAGCAGACCTGAACCAACAGCAAGCAGAGAGATCGGGTCAGAACCACTTCCTGTCTGACATAAGCCCCGCCCCCTGGCCACGCCCCCTCACCGTTCTCCTCGGCGAACTGCTTGGCCTCTTCGTACGTCACGTCCCTCTGAGCCTCCAGGTCCGCCTTGTTCCCGATCAGGATGATCACCTGGAAAGCAGAAACAAATCAGAACCAAACAGCGCCACCCGGTGGAGAGCCGCTGAATTACAGCAATAGACTCATTCTGGTTCTGGTCAGATCCGGGTCAGCGGTCAGAAGGCCTCACCGTGTTCGGGTTGGTCAGGTTCCGGGCGTCGGTCAGCCAGCTGCTCAGGTGGTTGTAGGTGCTTCTCCTGAAAAACAGCAGAAGAAGAAGAAGAAGAAGTTTTTCAGCCTCCACTGGAAACAAAGAAACAAAAAATATTAATTTAATCTGCAGCAACAAATTAGTGTGAAATTACACAGAAAAAATTCTATCAAAAAATACTAATATTGAACTACTAATAAATAAATTGCAAAATTAAAATAAAATACAAAGGTATTTAGAAAGACGAACATTTAAAAATATAATGATATTAAAACGGTTATAAAAAAATCTATAAAACACAAAACAGGAAAAATTACAATCACTGGAAACTAAATGACAAAATGATAAGTTATGAAATAGAAAAAAAAACTTAAAGTGAAATTCATACATTTGAAGAAGCTTAAAATTTTATTTACATAGAAGGTAATAATCATAATGAAATAAATAAGAGGAGCACACATAAAATTAATAAATATAATAAAACTTATGTCTACATAACACTTTATTTACAGAAATGAACTAAAATCATCAGACAGAAATTCAGAAAATAAATTTCTGTAAACTTGCTTCAAATTTTAACATTTTTGCCAAGAAAAGATAGAAAATGTTGCTCAGTAAGAACCAAGATTATTAATTATGATAAAGAAGAACTGTAGATGTGTACGAATTGTAATAATTAAAATGTGTGATAACCACCTGGTGATGTCATAGACCATGAGGGCCCCCGCCGCCCCCCGGTAGTAGGACCTGGTGACGGCCCTGAAGCGCTCCTGACCCGCCGTGTCCCAGATCTGCAGCTTCACCTTCTGACCGTGGACCTCCATGATCCTGGTCCCAAACTCCACGCCGATGGTGTGAGGACAGTCGGCCATGACTGCGCACACACACACACACACACACACACACACACACACACACACACACACACACAGAGGGTTCTGGTCAGGTCCAATCAGAACCGGGTCACAGCTGGATAAGGAGACAATCACTCACATTTCTTCTCTGTGAACTGATGAAGCAAACATGACTTCCCGACGCCCATATCTCCTGAAACACACAAACGCATCAGGACGCAGGTTAAACTTCAGCTGAATGCAGCACAGCGGTGGAGGTGTGGTGATGTGGGCTTGTTCCAGTCAGAGGACATGGAGTGGACCCGGTTCGGTTCGGACTCACCGATGATGATGTACTTGAAGATGTAGGAGTAGTTGTAGGGAGCGGCTGTCATGGTGACTGTGGAGGAGACAAACAGGGACACAGTGAGACCCGAACCGGTTCCGATGGGCCGAACCGGGTCCGCTCAGCCTGACAGAACTCTAACTGGAGCCGGAGGCGGTCAGGCTGGACCCAGAATCCGGTTCCGAGGCGGCCCATCGTGCTCAGCAGAAGTCTCAAAGCCGATCAGCTGACTTCCCTCTCTGAGCTAACGGCTAACATCTAACAGCAGGGGGCCAATTTTTCCCAAACTACAGCGGGAATGATCCAGCTACAAGCCGGCACCCCGTCCGGAACCAGAACCTGTAGCTTTACCTTCTGTCCGGTGGTCTGGTCCTCCTGGAAACTGGTTGAACTGCTAGTTAGCTGCTGATCGAAGCTGTTAACCGCTGATCCGTCAGGAAACCTGCTTCACTTCCGCTTCTTCTTCTTCTGGTTTCACCGCAGATTCCAGCCTAACAGTTATACCACTGCCACCTGCTGGCGTGTTTAGCTTCTACAATGGAGAAAAACGTGAAAGACGCTTACAGAATCTGAAGGAAAAAAAATCAGCATTTTTAAAAAAGATTTTTATGGATTTTATTAGTTTATTTATAGCAGAAAAACAAAATTAAGAACATAAAAATGTTTTTCATAAATAAATATTTTATGGAGTGTATGTTGTGGGCTCTCTGATGCAGCGTTAATGCTGAGCCTTCAACCTTTTTTCTTCTTGGCACATTCATCCAGTTTTCACCAAGACAATGAACCACATGCAATAGGTTTGGCTGAGGAAGAGGAGGGTATAGCTGCTGTACTGTCTCTGAAGGAGAACCTAAGGACCTGTTGGACATGTTAAAACATTAGCAGGAAGAATGGGAAGAACAACATCTGGAAGCTTTCCTGGTTTTGGAAGCGCAGCCACAGAACATGGCTTTTAACGTTTAACTGCTGGGAAAAGAAACCACAGCAGACTGGGAACAACTAAAACCAAGACAGGGAACACATCTGAGTCTAAAATACAGAGAGGGACATGAACGTCTCAAAAGAAGCCGAGGAGACAGGAGAGGACACATATGAAACAAAATCAGAATCAAAGGTTGCTTGTTTTTCACTCTGACCAACATATAGAGAGAGTGATGATCCCTCCTCCTCCGTGTGTTCAAGTCTCAGAGGGGCAGGACTCGTCTGTGAGGGGCAGGATTCAGCTGTGAGGGACAGGACTCGGCTGTCAGACCTCAGTGCGTCCCACAGAGCCAACAGAGGGAATTCAGGGAGGAAGAAACCTGATGTCTGTTTTTCTTCCAGGGGAGATGAGACTAAAGATGAGTGGCTGCTGAGACGACAGAATGGACAAACAGAAAGGTACCGAGGCAATTTACAGGGCAATAAAGGGTGTTTCTATTCTATTCTATTCTATTCTATTCTATTCTATTCTACTCTATTCTATTCTATTTATTAACTGTTTCTCTGACAGACTGAATCTAACTCCAGATAAAAGAGCAGCTCAGTTAAAACAGCTGTTTGTTTTCAAATATATAGAATATTTTAAGTAAATTTTCAGGGTTTATGTAATATTTGTTTACGTTATTTGTGTTTCTGCTTCACATTTAACAAGCAATTTATAAAAAAAAAACTCAACAGTTTTAATTATTCTGTTAAGTATTCATCCAATGTTTGCTCCAGGTCAGCTTCACTTCCTCTTCAATAACAACCTGTTATCATTTGGTCTCCACTTCCATCTATTTCTCTCAGTCAAAATGATCATTAAAAGACTCAAATCACTTGTATTATTTAGCTTAATTTAATATTTATTTAGATACTTTATACTGTACACTGTTGTGGTTCTGATTCCTGATTGAAGTTATGAAAAATAATGCTGCTGCGCTCATCTGGCTGGAGGAGATGGATTCATGTCACCACATCAGATTAGAGAAAACCACCTGAAACTATCAACAAAAAAACTGATGGAAGAAATTCTGCAGGAGACAATGAAGACAATAAAACTACTGGTGAAGAAAAGGTCAATGATCCTGCATGTATAATGTAGTTTTTAATTATTTTATTGACTTCTTGACAGTAACGAGTTCTGATTAAATAAAATTATTCACAACATCCTTTATCAAATTATCAAGAAATTTTCTCATGCAGAATCTCTGCAGCTTATTGAAAACTATTAAATCCTTATTTATCAAACTGCACAAACTGATACAATCTGTACCAACTATCCCATAAGAGTCAATATAAAAACACTGAAACTCCAAGAGGAAGAAACAATGGAGGCAAATGTAGTTGTCTTTATTTTTTATTAAAATTAGGTTACTGATGCAGGTTTTTAATGTTTTAAAGACTATGAAAACAGGTTTCACTACTTTAATGTTTTTAAAAAAACTAAAGCAACATAAACACAGAGAAATGTGAAAATGTTAACTTTGTAAGAACCTGATGAGGCTTGTTTATCAGGTTAAATGTGTCGTTTGAAAACTCAATATTCAACATGTAAAAAGATGTGAAAATAGAAATTCACATTTCTATTTTTTTAAATGTTTTTTATTGGTCTCATGTAATTTTCTAATCTAAATGTACTTGACTTTTTAATTAACTGAAATAAATTGACTTTTCAATAATATTCAAATTTATTGTATATGATGTTTTAGTAAAGGCAAATATTTTCTAATTTGTTTGTGTTAAAAATTACAGGTTAAGATGAAATATTTCAAAAAATGTCTTCATAAACAGTTCAAGTTTTTACATGCACAGCGTTTGAGACCAGCAGCTGATTTAATTCACTTTTCCAGGCATTTTTTTGAGGATTTTTATTCTGCCAGTTAAAATAATCTACTTAGATATTTTTATTTTATTTGTCTTTTCCGAATTGAAGCATATCTGATAAATTCCTCCTTTGTTATTACTTTTTTTTAAAAATTATTAGTTTTTGTGGCACTTGTGGCTCGTATTTTTGACAGTAGGCAGACAGGAAAGAGAGCGAGGAGAGGGGGAAAGACATGCAGCAAAGGTTGCCGGGACCGGGAGTTGAACCCGCGACGTCCGCATCGAGAACTGAGGCCTCCAAACGAGGGGCGTGCTGACCCCCTGCACCACCACAGCACTTTGTTATTACTTTCAAACAGTCACTTTTAAAATGTTGTAATATTTATGATGAAGGCCTTTAAGGTTACGTTTATCTTCATGGATTAAATTTTAAAACATCTGCTGCTGTTTGGACCTGATTTAAAAACAAAGAGCAAAGCTGATAACTTCCCATAAAAACATGGGACTCATTAACAGGAATACTCAGGTTTGTTCTGTCTGTCAGGTCTTAATTTCATCATGTTATGTTAATTTACAAATGTTTTTTAAATATTATGTTTGTACACAAAAACATTTAGATACTAAACTGAAAGTTTAGTCTGGAGTAAAGATATGTATTAGCTAATAAACTAATACATAGAATCAGTTTTGTCTCTTATCGGTGGAACGGAAACAGCGTTATGTATTTTGTGTAGCTGCAGCTGTTTGCCCATAGGGGGCAAAGTTTCAGCCCATCCTCCTGCTGCTGTGAAGTCTTTATCGCTCTGCTGGTATGTTAACAATCGGAAACACCCCTGCTTGCTCCCCCATCCTCCTCCTCCTTCCTGCTCTTCATCATCACGTCTTCCTCCCATGGCATCTCTGGGGACATGGCTAATAGGCCATTTAGATCCATCAGATTTCCGGGTCTTTGTGTCTTCAAGGTATCCAAACCAACAGTTATCACCATATTAAGAGCTAACCCAGGCCCCTGAGGCATCAGGAGAACAAACGGAAACTAAATGCCAAGGAACATTAAAAAGATAAGCTTCTGGTGTCTCCTGGAAGCAGCTCAGAAATATGAATGGAGCGTTTTCTCTCCAGCAGATGAAAGAGAGTGGCTCCCTCCCCGCTGCACACATGTTTGGACTTCTTTACATCTGAGGTCCCAAAATCACATGATTTTGTCTCAACAAACATTAATCAATGTCATCTTAATGCAAAAAGGCTACTCTGAACCCCTAAGTACCTCTTTGAAGGTTTGATCAGCACAAAATGTCCCCATAATTCCCTGTGTCCCCATAAGGGATAGAAATACACAAGTCCCCACAAACACAGCTGGACAGACACGCAACATGTTTGGGGATTTTGCAGGAATCACATCTTCCGACTAATTTCAGGGTTTGGTTCTCATGGCAGCGCTGCTGAAACTACTTTTTCTAAGCGCTGCGACCGAAGCCGATTACAGGAGCAGCTGAGGCCTGTTTCTCTATGCTTTGATTTCAGGCTTCAGGCCACAAATAAACAGAAACGATCAGGAAACAACTGACAAGGCTGACCAGTTGGGAGCCAATCTGCTAACTGGGGAAGATGTGGCTAAAGCCGGGGAGCGCGGGCTCTGGAGGACCGGATCCGGACACATCTGTCTGAATGTGGGTCACATGCAGCTGCAAAGCGGCAGCCATTGTTGAGGCTTTTAATGGAGAGATGCATGAGGCCCTCCACTTATTTCTGGATCCATGAACCTGAAGCCTGGAGGGTTTTAACCACAGCAGCTGCTTATAACAGACTTGCAGGGTTTAACGGCCAGACTCAGTTCTACAGCAGGTCCAGGAGAAACACTCAGCTGGTGTGAGACCAGAATTACAGATGCAGCTGATTTAGTTTGATTTTCATGCACGCATTGTGGAATAAACACATGAGAATCATTAAAGTTCTCTGTTTGCGTTCTTGGTTATTTTGCGGTGAAGTTTTTATTTTTCATATGAAAGTGTCAGTTTTAGGTTGGTCAGTGCAGCTTGAATCCAGAAACAAGAAGTGATGCTGATGGTGAGAATGTTGGGATTTAGCAACAGATCCCAACGTTCTTCTGTCCAGCAGAACTGGAGCCATTTGTGAAGTTAGAGTCAAACATTAACAGGAATACTCAGGTTTGTTCAGTCTGTCAGGTCTTAATTTCATCATGTTATTCATTAATTTATAAATGTTTTTGAAACATTATGTTTGTACACAAAACATTTAGTTAGAAAACTGAAAGTTTAGTCTGGAGTAAAGATATGTATTAGCTAATAAACTAAATATAAAGCTAATCATTTGGTTATAAAACTAAATATTAAATTTTCAGCAAAGCTAAATACTAGTTAGCAAGTCAAATATTTAGTTTAGTTTGGAATGTTTTTGGACATGTCCAGCCGTCCTTGTGTCTTATGTTGTTGCTGCAGAGCTGTGGGTGTGTGAGGTATGTGCTGCTCGGTGTTTAAAGCAGCAGCGGCCTGATCAGCAGCGATGTGAAACGGCAGAGGAGTTAATCAACATTTAACCTCTGTCTCCCACGCTGCCGCCGTGAATGGACGCAGTCTGTCCCCATCAATGGACTCCAGGACAGGCCTCCATTGTTCAGGACGGATCTGTCTGCATGTCCGCCTCAGAAGCGGCTCTGAGCTGGACTCAGTTGGACCCTTCAAGACTCATTCGTCTTAATGATGCTCAGATAAAACCAGAAAGTGAAGGTTCTACCAGAATCACAACCAGAATTAGAACCACCATGCTGTCCTCTAAACCAGCTGAATACAGACATGGGACTGATGCAGCCTGGCAGTGGAGGCATCACATGAAAACAGAGTTAGTTTATTTATTATGTGACAGTGAAATTTAATATTAACATTTACACCAAAGAAAATCTGAGAAGTGTGGAGTGAATCTGTGTTAAGCTTTGAAACATTCAGTTTGTTCTCCTCTGATCATGTTTACTTTCTCCTACATAACTTATGGAAAACTGTCAACAGGACTTCTTCTGGCTTTCTTCTTGTCCATCTGATGAATACTGCCACCACTGCCTGCAGGTGGTACTGCAGATGTCCGAACTGATGGAGAGTTTAGATTGTTTGTTTCTCCTGGGAAAATAATTCATATGAGCCTCATCTGCATCCCTGCAAATGTTATTCTCATAATGTTCCCCCAAAAGGCCACAAATTCCTCAGATTCCTGTGAAAAGGAAGGTATGGAAGGAGGATGAGACGGATGGGAACCATTTCGCTCAGCAGGACTCAAACACTAAAACTGATTTTATCTCATGTATTCTGAGATTAAATCATCACCAGTTTTAGTTTACAGGATTGTTTGTGATGCTCAAAGCCAGAAACACATAAAATCACATTTTAATATATTTACAGACATACTGAGTCTCTCCTGTAGCAAACTGACGTATCTGCAAACAGACAGGAACCTGTATTATTACAGTGCAGAAATAAAGCAGGTTTCAGCAACAAGATGAAAATATTAAACATCAAACATCAGTGGCAGAATAAATAAAACTGATGAATCCAGATGTCATCTAACTTGTTTCTGATAATTATATGTCAAAAATACTTTTATGTTCTCAATCAATAATTATTGTGGTTTCTAAAGATGTCTAAGATCTGAAACTTTAATCTTTCATCTTTTATTACATCTGACATGTTTTTCTGCTGCCCTCGGAGGTGCTTGGAGACAAAATTCAACATTTATGCCATAAATTAACAAATAAAGTATTGATGAATGTCACCGTGTTAATAACCATTAAAATCCTTAAGTTTATTTGTAATTTCTTTTTCAGCAATAGGGCAGTTGCCCTGTTGCTGAAAAACAGAACATGAGATTACTCATTATTTAATGATTAGTTCATTGATTATTTATCTGGTTCTGAAACTTTATCAACTGAGCAGCACAAACATCAGGCACTAAAGCTTTTCTATCAGAGGTTAAACATTAGCTGCACCGTGTGTTTGCTCTGATCCGCTACATGATGGGAGCTGAAGCATCATGGGAGAAACTTTCCTGCTTTTTATCCAGTTTTCCACGCTGAGCGTCAAACCAGAGCAAAACATGGCGAGGTGTTTTTTATCGTTCACAGACAGAAAAACGCTTCATTCATGAGATCATCTGAGATCTGTAATTATTAATAGAAGTTATTGTTTCCAGCTGATGTTTAAAGTCAAATCTGCTTATGAAATGAAACTGAATCTGGTTCATGATGCAAAGCTGCTGGAATGATGGAAACAGTTAAACATTAAGGAAGTGAAGGAGAGAAAACAGAGTCTGTTTCAGAGGAGACACAGATAAGACTCAGATCAAACATGAGTCACCGCAACTCAGGCAACCGTTGCCTCAACTGTAGACTGGAGAGAGACAGAGGCAACGTCTGAAATGCCGGATGTCTGAACTTCTCTCTGTGGCTCCAAACATGGTGGCAGTGAGGGAAATGGACTAAAGACTGACTGGTTGAGCTACCTGATGAATGACTCGTTCGGTTACTGACTCGTTCAGCTGCCTGATGAATGACTCGTTCGGTTACTGACTGGTTGAGCTACCTGATGAATGACTCGTTCGGTTACTGACTCGCTCAGCTGCTTGATGAATGACTCGTTCGGTTACTGACTGGTTGAGCTACCTGATGAATGACTCGTTCGGTTACTGACTCGTTCAGCTGCCTGATGAATGACTCGTTCGGTTACTGACTCGTTCAGCTGCCTGATGAATGTCGGTTACTGACTCGTTCAGCTGCCTGATGAATGACTCGTTCGGTTACTGACTTGTTCAGCTGCCTGATGAATGACTCGTTCGGTTACTGACTCGTTCAGCTGCCTGATGAATGACTCGTTCGGTTACTGACTGGTTCAGCTGCCTGATGAATGATTCGTTCATTACCTGGCTTGTTCAGTAACTGACTCAGTAACTGTGGAATGACTGACTCGTTCTTTAACTCTCCCACTGCTCCTCTCTCCCTGCTGTGTTCAGTTCTGGCAAAGCTGATCTGGGATCTGCAGACGTTCCTCTCGGTTCTTGACTCGGAGAACCTGAGCTACATCGCTCAGGCGCAGAAGAAGTCGATCTCAGAGCTGCTGTCCAAACTGCAGACGCCCGATGCTCCAGGTAGCGACCAGCTGATCACTTCCTGGTTCCCCTGGTTCCGCTTCCTGTTTGGTCCAAAGACACGAAGCAGACGGAGAGAACGGGCTGCAAATGAAACACGTTCGCCGCTTCAACAGATTCATCTGAGCTTTTATCGTTCAGGAAATATTAAAGTGATGGAAACATTTAGTTTCTTAATGTATGAAGCTGATTTACAGTTGAATGGTTTCCTGTGTCTGCAGTGGAAGATGCTGAGTACATGGTGATGAGCTGTCCATCATCGTCGCTAGGCAACGAGATGGATGACTCACCTGGGACAGGTACGCTGTGGCGGCGCCTTCCCTCTCTGACCTCAGATCCGACATTTGCTCCATGTTTGGTTGTTTCCAGATGCAGTTTGGTCGTCTCAGCTGATCTCACATAAGGACCCGTCGGACTGGATGAAGAGCGGGGTGAGCAAACATCACTGGGCGAACTGGTTTCACCTCCAGGGTTGTCAAAAACAGATTTAAAGGAAAAAATCCAAAAAGAAACTGTGAAAGTCTCGAGAAATCTCCTGTTTCCCATCATGTGGCTGCCATGGCAATCAGCGGTAAGGAAAAAGGGTCATCATCCCATCACGGCAGGTCAGAGTCCAACCAAACCTGCTCGCTCCCCGACCTCAGAGAGGAGCTCAAAGGAAAACTGGGCGGAGGGAAGAAAGTTTGTTTTTAGACGGGGATCCAGGGCCTGTGATGTGGGTCAGTAATGACAGACCGGGGCCTCCGGAGGTTTGGGAGGAGATGACAGGGTAACCGAGTGTGTGTGAGTGTGTGTGAGTGAGTGTGTGTGTGAGTGTGTGTGAGGGAGGCGCAGGAAGTGCTCTGTTTACATGGGAGGCCGCCGCGCCGCGCTCCCATTGGCTGACGCACCTGCAGGGGGAGGAAGCGGCCGCTGATGGCGGCAGATTAGCATCTGGTCTACGTGATGGACAGAAAACACACACACACACACACACACACACACACACACACACACACACACACATAATAAGATCAAAATCTCAGCCCAGCGTTCACAGAGTCTTGCAGTATCGCTGATCCAGTCACTGCTAACAATAATGCAAAAACTTAAATGTGAACGACTTTCAGTCTATGAATCAGGATCCGGATCAAGCTTGTCAGATTAATAGCAGCTTTTGAAAATTACCTTCCAGCAGCTATTAAACATACTAACTATGTTCAAACATACAGAATCTAATGGATCTACATAATGTCTGTCACTTGGTGATAGAACCAAGTGACAAAGGAGCTTTTCAGTCATAATTTATGAAATCAGCCTTTATTTGCTGAATGATTACCTGCAGTTGAAAACAGTTTCATAACTCAGTAATATTTTTTGTGAAGAATTATTGCATTTTCTGATAGAGATCAAAATGTTATTGAACATTTCAAAAACAGAAGAAATAACTTCTGTCGAAACCAAATGAATCAAATTTTGTATTTTTCAGCTGAGAAATGATGTATCTCTAGTATAGCAAATATTAAAAACTCAAAGACCCTTTTGAGTCTGATTGGGTCTGATTGGGTCTGATTGGGTCTGGTTGGGCCTGGTTGGGTCTGGTTGGGTCTGGTTGGGTCTGGTTGGGCCTGGTTGGGTCTGGTTGGGCCTGGTTGGGCCTGGTTGGGTCTGGTTGTGTCTGGTTGTGTCTGGTTGGGTCTGGTTGGGTCTGGTTTGGCCTGGTTGGGTCTGGTTGTGTCTGGTTGTGTCTGGTTGGGTCTGGTTGGGCCTGGTTGTGTCTGGTTGGGCCTGGTTGGGCCTGGTTGGGTCTGGTTGGGCCTGGTTGGGTCTGGTTGGGCCTGGTTGGGCCTGGTTGGGTCTTGTTGGGTCTGGTTGTGTCTGGTTGTGTCTGGTTGGGTCTGGTTGGGCCTGGTTGGGTCTGGTTGGTTATGGTTGGGTCTGGTTGGGTCTGGTTGTGTCTGGTTGTGTCTGGTTGGTTCTGGTTGGGCCTGGTTGTGTCTGGTTGGTTATGGTTGGGCCTGGTTGGGCCTGGTTGGGTCTGGTTGGGCCTGGTTGGGTCTGGTTGGTTATGGTTGGGTCTGGTTGTGTCTGGTTGTGTCTGGTTGGTTCTGGTTGGGCCTGGTTGTGTCTGGTTGGTTATGGTTGGGTCTGGTTGGGTCTGGTTGTGTCTGGTTGGTGGTTGGGTCTGGTTGTGTCTGGTTGTGTCTGGTTGGTTCTGGTTGGGCCTGGTTGTGTCTGGTTGGTTATGGTTGGGCCTGGTTGGGTCTGGGTGGGCCTGGTTGGGCCTGATTGGGGCAGCTGGTGAACAGTTATAACTGGATTTTATAAAATGTGGCTTAACGCTGAGATGCTGATGTCTGGATATGTAAAATAAATATTGTCTTTGCATATAAATCTATAAATAGTTTGGTTTCTGTCAGTTCTTTAGAGATACAAGAGAGCGAAGCAAATTGCTCTTTTATATTAATTTTACTTAATAGTCATATTATGAATGACTGTCTGCAGGGCCCCACCGTCCCTCCCCATCCTCCGGGTGGGCTTGGTGGTGATGAAGAGGACACGTATGAGGAAGCAGAACCTTACGTAGCGTCTGAAACCACCGCGTTCCACACAGGTACCCAGACTCAGCACCGGAACCTCTTCAGGTCTGGAACCTCTGAACAGGAACCTTCTCCTTCCTCCAGACAGGGCGGAGTCAGAGAGCAGTCACTACGAGTCGTACGGTGAGGAAGAGGAGGATGAAGATGAAGGAGGCGGCCTTGTGAAGGACAGAGCTCACTACATCCAGTGGAGCTCCTCCCAGATCAGTCTGCGGCCCACGCCGGAGTCCCGGCTCTGTGGGTACCTGTGGAGGAGGAAGTGGCTCGGACAGTGGAGCAAGCAACTCTTCATCATCAAGAACGACAACCTGCTGGTGAGGAAGAGGAGGAAACACACACCCTGAGGCTGCAGTGCCTGTAATCTCCACTAGAGGCTGCTGCTGAGACCCAGAGCCTCATCCAGACCGTTGAACATTTTGGTTCTGGTTTGGTTGTTCTGTTCCGTGACGTTATTGGTGCTATGTCACCTGATCAGGTTGATCTTGGCGGACATCTTTAGTGAGAGACTGAAGTCCTGAACGGAGCAACTGGGATTGTTTTCCCACGTTGTTTCTGCCAGTATAACCACAGAGTCTACTGGTTCCAGTTTAGATCTGTGGAAGTAGAACCAACAACAGGAATATGGATGGATGGATGGATGGATGGATGGACGGACGGACGGACGGACGGATGGACGGACGGATGGACGGACAGGTTGACATTCTCTCTGTAACTTTGTCTCTACCAGTGCTACAAATTTGCGCGGGATCTGCTGCCCCAGCTGGAATTGAACCTTCACGGCTGTCAGATTGTCTACAAGTCGAAGAGCAGCGCTAAGATCCAACACCAGCTCAAACTGGTCCCAGTGGGGTCAGAGTCTCTGGTTCTGGGCTACAGCAGCTTCCAGCAGGCGGACGAGTGGAGGAAGGTCAGCAGTTCACCAAACACCTTTCAACTTGAACCAACCTGTATAAACCCTGGACTGGTGACCAGCAACATTTATGGACAAGCTGTTCCTGATGTGAAGTCATTTCACTGTGTTTCCTGTTTGAAGGTGATAGAGGAGGTGAGCGCTGGAGGTGAAGTGGAGTCTCAGAGCTTCTCCTCTCTGAGTAAATCTGATCTGCGACTGTCCTGCAGGGTAAGAAACGCACCAAGGTTCTCCTGCTCCAGTGAAGAACATCCAGATGGGAAGTTTGTAAACTCTAAAAATCAGGAAAAACCTTAAGAAAACATCTTTACTAATGGGAATCAAACATGTGAACTCTAAGTGAAAATGTTTTTATTGTTGTGTCTTCAGTCCAGTACAGTCCTTACCGACTCGGATGAGGAGAAACCTTCAGCTTACTGCAGCCTCAACAGAGACAAAGGTCTGAAACTTTACATCTGTTTGGGTAAAAACAGAACTGATACTTAGCCGGTTATAATAGACTAGTCTCGGTTGAGGTCTTCACCATCAAGGTTACCACAACATCCTGCACTAACAGTCCATCAGAACATGCATCACCAGTTTCTACAAACTCACAGACTCCATGTGGTTTACATCCCGGACAGGCCCCCAATTTACAGCGGGTTGATTGGGGGGATTTTTGTTAAGCAAAGATTGACTTTAAATTGGTCAAAACTGACTGTAGACATTTCAGAACAATCAACAGTTTACAGGTATAATTCAGGAAAAATATTTTTCATTGAAGAATTCAGAAAAATTTAGGGGAAGCCATGAGAAAGATCCAGATTCAAGCTGTGAGGACAAGCGAGATGCCAACTTGGTGATCCAGAAAGCCAGGATGTAGAGTCAGGAAATCAGAACAGACTGTCCAAGAGAAGGAGGATGATCTCAACCAAAGGGTTGAAGTCAGCGAGGGGCCTGCAGCAAGAAAAGGCAGGTCCTGAAAGACCAGGTCAATGTTCAACCCATCTACACAGACATCCTCCTGTGTAATCACCTGGAGGAGTTAGAAGCTGACACGAAACTCCTAGAGGACAAATGAGTGTCAAAGCAGCTATGCAGCATAAAAGAGCAAAGATCCTGGAGTATGACAGGATGATCACTCCTAATGACAGACTGGCAGGACCCAGAGGAACTGTCTTGGAGAGACAAACCTCTGCAGGGCTGATATGCAGATGTCCAGTGAGGGACAGTACGAAAGAACAGACTATTAGTCCAGCTATGGGAAGAAGCTCCTGAAACAGTCCAACTCATGATGGCTGAGTGTGGGAAGTGTTCATGGAGCATCACAACCAGATAGCAGGAAGATCTGTGCTGAGATGAAGGGGCCACAGGCCCCCAAATGGTCAGGAAATGATCCAGACTGACGGACAGATGGTGATTTACTGCTGGATCTCAGCGGAGCAGCAGTGGTAGGCGTGAAGAAAGGCCACCAGAAACACCCGGATGTAGGAACAGAGAAGCTGTTACTGACCCCAAACTGGAGAGGGAGCTGCAGACCGAAGGTGTTTGCAGTAACTGCCGGTTGGTGATGTTTGGTGTTGTGAACCTGCAGGGTTCCTGAACGTCCTGATGAACTGCCAGTGGCAGAGTTTGCAGTGCCAGGTGGAAGACGGCGTCCTCAACATGTTCGGAGAGGAGATGGAGAAAGACGAGGAGGAAGAGGTGAAGCGGTCGCCTCAGTACACTGTCCAGCTCCGAGAATGTGAGGTCAGAGACGACCCAGACCGCTCCTACAGGATCACACTGAGCATGCTCGGTGACCAGGTGGCCGTGCTGGAGGTGAGCTGGCAGACCGGAGCTCCGGCGTCTCGGGTCAGATCCTCATCATCAAGTCTTTCTGTCTAACCTTCATCACTTCAGGTGAGCTCATTGGAGGAAAAAGAAAAATGGCTGAAGTTGCTGCAGGATGGAGCTGCTCGTCGTGGTTACCGTGACAACAAGACTCAGGAGAACACACGTGGCGCCCTCAGGTGGACAAACTTCTTAAAACCAGCAAATCCCATCATCACTTTCTTCTATTTCTGAGTTTAAATGTTGCTCTTGTCTCCTCAGCGGGCTGCAAACGCGCCGGTTCCCAACCTCCAACGCCTACATGGACGACCCGTTCTGCCTTACCAGAACCACCAGCAGCCAGCCCCTCTACTCCAACTCCGCTCCACAGGAAGTCCTGGTACAAAGCAGAAACTGATTCTTCTGGTGATCCTCACTGTGCTGTCTGTGTAGACGCTGCTGATCCCTGTGTGTTTTTCAGCGGCTCGGCTCTCAGGATTCGGTTCACTGTCACTCGGTGTCGTCCAGAGAATCGGTGACCTACAGCAACACGGTGCTGAGCAGCAGTGAGTCGGACCTGGACCAAACCTTCAGGATGAATGATCTGACTCTAGATCAGTGGTCTCAGACTGCACTCCTCGAGCGCCAGCGTCCTGCAGCTTTCACATGTGTCTGTTGTCCCACAGCCTGAATTAAATGATGAAACTGCCCTGCTAGCATCCAGTCCAGCTTCACGGAGCTCTGCTGTAGCTAATGTTGGAGAAGCAGAGACATCTGAGGGAGCATCATTCCCACCATCAGTCCGCTTTAACCCAACTCCAGTCTATCGGCCTACTCAAAGTCCAGTCTGGTTAGTGAGGTGTGAAAACTAATTGACCTCTGACCTTTATTCCTCCAAACCCCGGTCTGCGTTCAGTTGATGCGAACTCTGGTTTGGTTTGAATGTGAATGCCAAGTGGACCACAGACCGCTGCAAAAGCAGGAAGTGGACTACAGCACAGGGCATTCTGGGTAATCAAAGCTAACATGTTAGCGTAGCAGCAGAAATGGCTCCTGGTCTTCAGCCAAAGACTAAAGGGAAATCACTAAACTCTGACGCCTCCATCTGGTGACGCAGGAAGTTGCTCTCAGCGTCTTCAGAGGTTTTAGTGTCGTTTCCTGCAGTGGTTGCTGCTTCAGCACCCCCACAGGCCAGGAAGGGAACAGGCTGGTTTGACTCAGAGCCACAGCAGCTGGAGGTGGAGCAGATGTTCTGCTTCCAATAGAACCGGGTCGACTGGACCGTCAGGAGGAAAACAGACTGAAAGTTGCAGACGCCCTGAGGACTGGAGTTTGAGACCTCTGACCCCTGACCTTGAGGTTTGCTCACAGAGTAAAGTGAAGTGTTGTTTTTCAGGCCGGACGGCGCCGGCGGTGCAGCGCGACGTCCAGAAGCTGAAGCTGGTCGACATGCCGGCGGTGCAGTTGAGAACCGGGTCCGAAACCAACCTGCCGTCTGCTGTGAAGCGAAACAAGCGCACCTCCTTCAGGCAGTCTCTGGCCATCTGCACTGAGCGTGCTCAGGTGAGCTACACCTGCTGAGGTCCTGCTGGTTTTACTGGTGCGACCTGCAACCTCTGACCTCTGAACTGGTCTGCTCCAGGCGGGCTTCCTGAACCCTCTGCTGCGGCGGACGGCCTCGGCCAAGAACTCGCTGAGACGAGCTCCTTCTGCGCTCTTCATCGAACACGGGAAGGTTTTCCAGAGGAAGAAGGTGGGACAGATCCAACATGTCAACGTGCCGCCATGTTTCATTCTGGATAAACCTTTTGAATCTGCTCTAAAGATCTTTCTACAGGAAAGGTTTTGACTCTAGTTAAATTTACTGGTGGGACTCAGTTAACATTTTAATCGACTTAATTTCAGGTTCTGTAATTAATGAATCTCAATTGAATCAAAAACATTTTGGCCTTTTTTTCTGCTAACTTACTGAAGGAATCGACATAAACATCAAACATGTTTCTAGTTTTAATCTTCAGGTTCTTCAAACCTTAGATTGGATCAAAGTTCATTTTCCAGAGTTTCTCTGATGATTCATGGAGCTTCCTTAGTAATGTGGACGCTTCCATTAGCGTTAGCTGCTACATGTTAGCATTGAGATATGCTAACTCCTTTTAGCAGAACCTTAACACACAGTCTGGCCATGTTGTTTCCTCTTCCTATAAAACATTCACAGTGTTTGATAATCCAGACGGTTTTATGTTGGTGAATAGAAACATGTTACCATGAATAACATGAGAAACATGAGATGATTTCTAACTGATGGTTTTATTTTTCTCTACAGGAATGGGAGACCAAAGCTGCTGCCTGACGTTTCCTCCTCATCAGCATCCAGCAGGCCTGCAGGCGGCGGAGAAGCTCTGCTCTGATTGGCTGCTTGGACCCCAATCATTCAAACTGGTGAAAGGTGACCAACTGGGCCAACTGGGCCAACTGGGCCAACTGGGCCAACTGGACCAACTGGACCAACTGGGCCGACCGGACCAACTGGGCCGACTGGACCAACTGGGCCAACTGGACCAACTGGCTCACTGTTAATTATAATCAAGAACAAAATAACTTTCCATAATTCATTTCTCCTGGCTCCAGTTGAGCTTTTATTTAGAAAGGAGATAACTATTTATTCAGAAGTAAATAAAAAACATTGGAACGTGTTATTATTAGTGATTTACCAAAGTTTATTTTAAAAGCATTTTCATTACTGACGAACTGAAGATCAAATTTATCTCCATAAATGTTTTATATAAAGATACAAATATGCTTTTTATGGTAAAGTAGGATATGAAACTTCAGCCATGATCACTTTTATGTACTGTAAAAAACAAAACACAACCACCTGCAGTCATTTACTGGATGAACAAACTCTGTGTGTTTTTGGGGCCTGTTTCGCCCTGGGCCCCAGAATCACTAGATCTTCCCCTGGGGACCAAAATGTGGAACTGCAATTTTAGAAATGTCAGAAAATGGCCAAAATACAGAACATAACAACATAAAAAGAAAAAATAGTGAAATGTTGTTGAAGAACTAGAGAGTCTGAGCAACAACAAAACAAAAAGCTTTTGGTTGTTTTTGTTGCTCTGGAACATTTTCTTAAGTTTTGTTTTTCAGTTAACGAGTTTCCTAACGGAACCAGATTATTAATTTATGTAGGACTAATATGATGTTTTCATTAACAGCAAAATAAACTAAAAATGCCTTTTAGACTTTGTGTTGTTAGTTTATAAGATTCTTGCAGGACCAGAACCGACGACCTGGTTCTGGCTCTTCATCAACATTGATCCGTTTGACTGTGATGAGTTCAGGTGTTGCAGGAAATCCAACAGAACAGAAACTCAAACCGTTTATCGAATCTTTTCTGAACATTTTCAAGACACACAGTTTGTAGAAAACTTGATTTTATTCATGTTTAATATAAACGAATAAAAACCAGCTCAGCGTCCAGAGGAACGTCATCTGGCTGCCATGGAAACCCGCTTCCGTTTGGGTCACAGCTGCCATTAAAATCAGGAAATCAGGGTTTCTGGTGTAGCTGCAGTGACCTCTGGTGGCCACAGGGGGCGCCAGACTCCAGGCTGTCATGTCAAAGCAGCTCCTGCTGTTTTATGTTTTATTTTTCATTTCTCAGGCAGAATCGCTGATCTGTTATCACAGCAGGAGCTCAGAGTTTCTCTGTTCTTATTTTAATAAATATGTTAACTATTTTCATCATGTACTGATCAGCACAATGTAATAACTGACTGATGATTCATATTTAGCAGGAAGAAATCGTTTCTGTGGCATTTTTTATATTTACTGTTCTTTATACTCAGGAGAAAGTTTCTGTTTGAGCAAACACTGATCTGTAAAGATTAAAATCTGAGTGGATAATTTTCATCTGTGGAGTTTTTATTTAGTTTGCAAAGTTACACAATCAAACATCAACAGAAATTAATTGAGGTATGATTTGAGTTATTTAAAGTTATTTAAAGATGAAACAAAAGAGGAAGAGAAGCGACCAGAGAATCGAGAACAAGACGTTCAGATGATGCAGCTTTTATTTTGGCAGTCCACTTCTGGTTATTTGGAGCTAAATATTTCCTCCTCCTCCTCCATCAGAGAAACTTGGACATGACGTCCTGAAAGCTGTTAGAAATCTTTTTATTGAAACTCCGGCTTCACTCACATCATGTTACATCTCTGCACCCAGATATGAAAACATCAGAACATCATCAGGATGGACGACGTCAGACGGCGCCGGAGAAACGGCATCACCACAAACACCGACCCACTCAGGAGGGGTTAAAGGTCATGAGGGAGGTGCAGGTTGATGAAAAAACTAACAATTTAAACAATAAAAGAAATTAAATTTAAATTAAATTTGATAATCTGCGTCATCCTTCAGTTTTTAGACAGAAATAATGTTTTCCTAAAGTTTAACTATGAATCACTGCAGAAATTGTCAAAGTAAATATGTTCCAAAATAAGATTTAATTGTTTTTCTGGGAGCTGCAGGATGTTGGAAAAAAACTGGTTTTGATTTATTTCACCAGAATAGAAATAAAAAAATTTTTTAAAGACTAAAATGAGATGAGCTGAAACGTAGCGAACGTCTGAGTCGTCCTGCAAAGACAACAACTGATTCAAAAACAGCAGAAATGTAGAAAAAGAAAAACATGAACAATCTTTGTGTCGTCATGGAGTCGGTCACGGCAAGCAGCCAATCAGAACACAGCATGAACCGCTCAGGAAAACAGCAAGAAACAAAAACTCTAGAAAAATCCTCAACGTGGCGGATGCTTCTGCGCTCGTCTCACAACTTCAGACAAATGATTTTATCGTTTCTGTCTGTCGTTTTTCCACAGATACAGGAAGCAGCGAAGGAGTGATGCAGGACTCGCCGGCGGTGAACTTTGCCCTTTTCATGACGCAGTGAGAGCGAGTCGACTGACGCAGGTCAGAGTCCCTGAGCCCGGATTTAAAGGATCCAAATCAACATTAACCATCATTAATAATCATTAGTAATCATTAATAATCATTAGTAATCATTAATAACCAGGCCTCCTCCTGCAGCTTCAGACAGCTGCTTTAAAAATTGTCCAAAAATCCTGATAAAACCTAAAAATTCAGTAAAATAATAAATATACAGTTAGACTTATTATCCACTGCTTGTAAAAATGCATAAAAACAGCAAAAATATACAACAATATTAACTATCAAATTAATCCTCAAACATAGTTTGTAACAACAAAAAGCTTACATGTTTAAAATGTTTCTTGAATCCTTCCGTTTTTCTTCTGTTTCCGTTTGAGTGCAGCCTGTGTCAGAGCGCCCTCTGCTGGCTCCCACGGAAGCTGCTTCCAAAGGTTTGTGGTAATTTTAACAGAAATGTAATGTTTTGACTAAAATACATCGTTAATTCTATTTTAAATAAGAATGATAAGTAATTTATTGTGTTTTATCCTTTACTTCATTTTATTTTCTGCTTCCTGTTTCCTCTGTGAAACGATCTGGACTCATCAGAAGAACAAAAATTACATCATTTAGTGGAAATTAAACAGCAGCTGCAGCCATCTCAGAACATTAATATGAAATTATTATACCTCTGGTTTTCATCCCAACTGGATTAAATCTGAAACGGGTTTCCTTAAATCCGGTTCGGACTCGCAGCCTGACTCGTTAGGTGCAGTTAACCTGTCGGCCAGGTGTGGCGCTGCTGAGCGTTAAGAACACTGACGTCACGCAGAAGAACTGAGGGGTTAAACCCAGCTGAAGTCCGTTTCCTGCTTCCTCTGAATCATTTTAACATTTTTAGATGAATTCATAACAAACATGCCACTTTCTGAAAAATAGCTGCACATGGTTTAGTCATGAAGCAACGGGAGCCGAACTGGACGCCTACCCCCCACTGGGCCATGTCTCAGGGTGTGTGTGTGTGTGTGTGTGTGGCAGTGGTTTCTGCTGAGGAACGAATGAAGAAAAACGAGGTTTGATTACGGCTCAGACTGGAGCTGGACTGGAACCAGTAAGATGAGCTGGGTTTACTGGGACCAGCAAATAATCAGCTAATTTCATAATCGATCAGTCAATAACTGAATATACTCGACAAGCAAAAAGGGTAAATTAGTGGAAATTAAGACAAAACTGTACAAAATATGTAATTTAGCATTTTAGATAAAAATAAATGTGTTTTTCCCAGAACTCCTGCAGAGGCAGTTTTAGCTTCACATTCTGTAAAAAGATGTTGGATAGTAAAATGTGATCAACAGTCCAATTATTAACCAGATAATCCAATAAATAATCCAGATAAGTTCCACACAGCTTGGAAAGTTTTTCTCATGTTGATGTTTTAAGTCTTTTTAAATCTGCAGATTAAAACTTTACTACATATAATCTGTTCACTGTAGAAATAAATTAGTTTAGCATTTCAAGCAACACAATGTTAATTTTCTTATTTAAAAAAGGAACATGATTCTTTAGTTATATTTTTATGTTTTTTCAACATTGTGTAAAAATGTTTATGCAGTAAAATGAAAAATCTCCAGACTATACCAAATATTTTCTTATCAGATTAATTGATTAACAGTCAGAATATTTGATTATTCATAAGTTGTTTAATCTTTGCAATAATAGATGAATCACCAGACGAATTGTCTATTTTTCTGATTAATTGATTAATGTTCAGCATAATCAACTCCCAGAATGTTAGATTAGTCATTGGAATAATTGATTATTTGTCCAAATAATTGATTATTCATCAAAGTAATAGATTAATCGTTTGAAATAACCAATTAATCATCAGAATAATTGATAATTCCTCTAAATGTAATTGATTATTAATGTTGATAATTAATCGTTATTCCAGCTGCTAGCTTGTTTTAGGCTGCTAGCTTGTTTTAGGCTGCTAGCTTGTTTTAGGCTGCAGGTTCGGCTCCAGTCTCATCATCTTCAAACCTCGTTTTTCTTCTTCGCTGCTGGGAAAAAAACGCCCTTATTGTGACATCATCGCTGGCTTAGCCAATAGGAAGCCCCTTCCGGGACGCTGTGGGAACCGACTCGGGTCAGAGGAATGCTGAGACTTTCTGCTGTTTGGATTCCCAGATTCAGAACCAGAACCCAGCAGCTGGGTCTCCGCCCGTTAGCCGGACCGTTTGTGCGCTAGCTAGTTTAGTGAAGCTGGTGTTCTGCGGCTCGAGGAACCGGTGAGGCGGAAGTGACGCAGCAGAACCCCGACAGCCCGCCCCAAGCCGTCCACAAACCCGGGAGTCCGGCGGTCCGGAGACCGCGGCCGCAGTCCGTCCCGCTTCCCGCCGGGAGGAGCAGGGGGTTCTGGGAAGCGTAGTCCGTGAAGGTCAGAAGAGACAGACTTTCTTCTTCATCTCGTTCCTCTTCCAGAGGGACAGGCGGTCGAAGTCCTCGATGGGCATCCGGAAGACGCTGAGGAACTCCTCCTGGGACAGATGTCTCTGCAGGAAGACAGAAGAGGCTAAAACAGGCGCACACTGGCGCCCCCCGCTGGCCAGGAGGAGGCAACGACTCGACGTTCTGCTGGGATTCCGGAGAAACGTTTCACTCACCCATGAGAGCAAACAAAGCTATTATAGATATTAATAATTAAAATAACTAATAACCAGTAAAATTAAAAATAAAATGGATGAATTTAGCACAAAGGAAAACACAGAACATTACCAAATAGTCACAAAATAAAAATGAAAATGTTTAAGACATTAGAGTCATTATTTGAGGTGGCGAGGAAAACACAGCGAACCCAGATTATGGATGAAGAATGATAGATTATGAACTTCATGACAAACACAATAATCCAGAGTCCGGGCAGCACAGAAACAGTGGAAGGCAAACGGCTCATAACTGGTAGCAACTGGTTTTTCAATAGAGATGTGAGGACAGACTGACGGCAGACGAGACGAGGAACAAAGTATTGGTTTGCATCATTTTCCTTTTCTCTGATATTCCTCGTTTTAATTAATGTTGGGTCATAAATATTTGGGGTGGAAATGGAAAAAGATGAAGAAAATAACTAAGTAAATAAATCACTAAAAAATAAAAACATAAACCAGAACAAAGACTTAATACATAAATAAGAATAACCACAAAACAGGTTTTGTGATCTAATCAAAAACTTTTAAAACTAATTTGAAGAATAAAGTGAGATTAATTTAGTGTTTTTCAGTAGAATCTGATCAAAATATTAGAAATAAATCATTTTGATCAGGAAGATCCTGGGATGTTTCCTGGTTAAAGCAGATCTAGTTTGTGTAGAAGTTACCTCCAGGCGGGTCCGGTCCACCCCGGGGGGCAGCTTGCTGCGCCCTCTGTGGGTCACCACCAGGATCTCATACGGGTAAATCTACAGCAGCAGATGAAACCAGTAAGACCAGTAAGACTCCAGTAAGCAGGTTTGAACTGGTCCGGTTTGCTCACCTTGTGCTCCAGCATGCTGGGCAGGGAGTTCCCCCGGTCCATCCTGGAGTCTCCGTTCTGACCCGAAACACAGACACAGTCACTGGTTACACAGATTAAACTGGGTTGTAAAACTGGTTCCCAGATTTTTACTGGTTTCTCAGTGAAAACCAGTGATGTTGTCATCAGTCGTTCAGACGAACCTGCAGACCTGCAGACAGAGACGGAAACGGATCACTGCAGGTTTCACAGCAGGACCGTAAACTTAAAATATTCAATAAAACATTTTCTACAGTTTAGAGGAGAAATTTATATGTTGTTAGTAAAATTAAAGCCAAAAATTAACAATTTGGACAAAATGGTTCATTTTCATTTTTACCATTTTAATTATCCATTTATAAAAGCCACAAAATGATCTTGCTACTGAATATTTAGTGCCAATCGGGAGCAAAACCATCAACTAAATAGTTAAATATTGTTAAATATTTAGTTAGCATGCTAAATTGTTAGCCTGAAACTAAATATTTTGTTTGCAGACTAGATATTTATCCTGCAAATTAAATATTTAGTTTGATATGAATCATGTGGTAAAATGTGACAGGAAATTAATTTGATTCATTGATTAATTTTCCAGATTTGTGTTGCTAACATTCAGTTTGGATTTACCTGCCGGGTTTTTCTCTGCCGAGCCGAACTCTGCAGACTGCAGCTGAAACACAGAAACAAACCGGTCACCATGTGACCCGACCGGATCACCATGTGACCCCACCGGATCACCATGTGACCCGACCGGGTCCGGACGCGCAGCAGGAACAGAACCACGTACCCGGGACAGGCCGCTCCTGGAGGATGCTGGGAAATACACCGACCTGGAGGCGCTGGAGCCTGGAACATAGAGGAGAGCAAGGTCGGTCCAGATGGACGGGTTCTGGAAAAATTGGACCGTATCAGAACCAGGTTCCATCAGAACCAGTGGGATCCCTGCTCAGTCCGTACCGGTGTTCTGGTTCTGGTCCGGCAGGGAACGGGTCTTCCTCCTCAGCGGACCCGCAGACTTCCCCAGTTCTTCCTTCAGGATGATTTTCCCGAGGTTGGACTGGATCTGAGCCGACAAAACAGAACTTCAGTCAGGAGCGCGGCTCAGATGCTGCAACAAGGGAACCGGGCCGTCGGGTTTGTTCCACAGGAGAAGATTTGAATAAAACTTCAATCTGGAAAATAACTTTGAACATGTTTTCAGCTTGAATCTTTTTCTGTTTGTTTTGAACAAGCGTTTGGCCCTGATGTTGCTCCATACCACGGCTCCGGACCCCCACCTTGTTCAGCTCCTGGTTCTGCAGAACCCGGAGGCCCCACAGCTCGTCCGCCAGCTCCTCTTCATCCTCCTCCTCTTCCTCCCGCTGGTCCTTCCTCTGACTCTCTTTCTCTGCAGGATTTAAAGGAAACATCAGCTGCAGCCTGACTTTCTGCTTATGGTGTGTCTCTGTGTGTGTGTGTGTGTGTGTGTGTGTGTGTGTGTGTGTGTGTGTGTGTGTGTGTGTGTGTGTGTGTGTGTGTGTGTACCGATCACGGCCAGTGACGGGGGGCAGGGCCAGTAGTCGGTCTCGATTTTGGACGGCTGGTTTGGATCTGGAGGCTGAGCTGCTGGGAACTTTGACGACTCGATGATCAGATCCTCAATGTGTTTCCCCTGAGGGACAGGCGAGGACGAGACGTCTGCACACACACACACACACACACACACACACACACACACACACACACACACACACACACACACACACACACACACACACACACTCGGCATGTTAAAGCTGATTAGCGGGCGCGGCGCTGACCCAGATTCGGTCAGAAACTCACCCTGCCTGTAGATGGGAGGCTTCTTATAGATGTTGGATCCGTTTTCTATCCAAAGAACAAAATGTCATCAAAAACGACTAAAATTTAAATGATTTAAATTATTGAATGAATAAAACAGAAAAGGGTTTTTTAGTATTTTATATTTAATCCAGTTTCAGAACCTGGAGGTTTTTAGTTTCAGGTGAAAGAAACTCGTTTAAAAAGTCATGTTTTCACCAAGTCACTCATCCATTCATAAACCTCAGAGCCTCAAACTAAACACTTCATAGCAAACTAAATGTTTAGCTTCAAGAATACATATTTGTTAGATTTAGCCTGCTAACTGTTAGCTTGTTGGCTAAATATTTTGCTTGTTAATATTTAACAAAATGTTTATGATGTTTGAATTTATAACTGAATTAATAACTTGATGAAAATGCAACGTTTTGTAAATTATTGCAGATACTTTTTGTTTTCCCGAGTGGAGCTTTGTGCCGTTACCGGGTCGGTGGAAATGCTGCATGGTGCTCTTGCTGCCCACCGGGTGTGTGTTGGCGGAGACGGGTGTGTTCAGCGCCGGCGGTGTGTGTGAGCTCTGGGTTCTGCTGCTCTGGACGGTGGAACCGGGTGACGAACCGCCAGGCGACCGGTTCTCCAGCCAGTCCCTGGACTCCTTGGACGAGTTCTGGGAGGAAACGGGAAGGAAGTGAATTCAAGTCATCTGCAGCCGGATGATGGTGATGAAGAGGAGGACTTTACCTCTGGGGAGGCAGGAGGAGAGACGGAGCGCGGAGACAACGACCTCTGGAAGAAAAACCGCAGAGAAACAGATTCAACGAAAACTGGAAGAAAAAACTAACTAACTAACTAACTAACTAACTAACTAACTAACTAACTAACTAACTAACTAACTAACTAACTAACTAACTAACTAACCAGCCACTGGTTGGGCTCCATCAGTTCAAGTCTGACAGTAAAAGAAGAAAAACAGAAAAAGTGTGATCAACTGTAAACCCTGGAACTGACAGAGGTCAGTGAAGGTCATCAGAGGTCAGTGAAGGTCATCAGAGGTCAGTGAAGGTCATCAGAAGTCAGTAAAGGTCATCAGAGGTCAGTGAAGGTCAGTGAAGGTCATCAGAGGTCAGTGAAGGTCAGTGAAGGTTAGTGAAGGTCAGTAGAGGTCAGTGAAGGTCATCAGAGGTCAGTAGAGGTCGTGACCTCCAGCGGGCTGTAGCTGTAGTGCGGTTGGTAGATCATCAGGTCGGGTCTCTCGATGTCCAGGATGGCTTTGTCTCTGGGCAGCGCCGCCAGGTCCTTGTAGCCGATGACGCCGTCCTCCACTCGGGCCTGCAGACCAACATTGAGGTCAGAGGTCAGAGTCTCCCAAGGTCACATCAAGGTGGCCTGAAGACGTTCCTCTGAGTCTCACCACGATGGCAGCGGCGGGCGATCCGGGAACGCCGGATCCTCTGAGCAACAAGACGCTGCCGGGAGACGTCTGCGCCGGCTGCTGCTCCGCACACAGAGGGACAGGAAGAGGTCAAGAGGTCAAGAGGTCGGCTGGAGGTCACCAGACTCCTCCCACTGAAAACACTCACCTTGGGCATCATCATGCCTGCTGATTGGTCAGTTCCTGAGGAGACACAGGAAGACAGCCAATTAAAAAACACAGAGAGAAACCAGACTGGAAGCTCTGGTTTGAACTGGGAGGATCCGGAACCAGAACCTCCGGTTGGGTCCAGGACCAGACCGGAGGTTCCCGGTTCTGGTCGGGTTCACAGGATCGGATCGTAAAGCTCTGGATTTTGTCTCTGGTCAGATTGTTTGTTTGGACTCGATCCGGACTCCCAGCATGCCCGGCTGCAGCCGCGGCGCCTCTTTGTGCCGTGAGTCCAATGGACACAAAGGGACAGATCCAGAAGGCCCGGCTGTGGGCGGGAAGCGGCATTCAGAACCGCCGGGTGTTTTTACCTCACAGAGAAAAGGCGGATCATCTCTGCATCAGGAGCTTCTCTGTTCTGCTTTCTGGGCCGATCAGCACCTGGAAGCAGAGAACTGGACTCAAACTCCAACCGTTTATCGACTCGGTGCAGAAAACGGTTCTGCTGTCGTTTGCTTTTTTCACAAAGAAACTTAAAGATGAACTTTCTGAATAAACTCTCCAAACACAAACGTTCAGACAGTTAACTGGTTTCTCTGGAGTTCAGCTGGGAGTCAAACTGGGAGCTGAAGGACAATCAGAGCATCGTCAGCAGGGGGCGCTGCAGACGCCCACATCTGAGCCACATAGATCTAGATCAGGGGTGTCAAACTCCAGTCCTGGAGGGCAGGTGTCCTGCAGTTTTTAGATGTGCCACAGGTACAAACCGCTGGAATGAAATGGCTTAATTACCTCCTGCTTGTGTAGATCAGGTCTCCAGAACCTTGATGACCTAATTATTCTGTTCAGCTGGTGCAGCAGAGGCTCATCTAAAAGTTGCAGGACACCGACCCTCCAGGACTGGAGTTTGACACCCCTGATCTAGAGGCTGCAGAAAACGCCACCTAGATTCTACATTTAGTTGAATTTTACATTATTCAACTAAATATTTTAAACGATCAGGGTCTGACACATTTTTGATTTGTTTTAATGATACTTTATATCTGGATTTTGTTTTCAGGTTTTAGATGAAAATACTGGAAGCTGCAGAATCTGGACTTTTAAATTTGTTAACATTCAGAGAATCAGAATCGACGCTGATCATGGATCAGACTCCGGTCTGCTGTTCAGACTCTGCTCTCTGAATAATTGATGCCTTAATGGTTTGCTGACGGCCAGACTGGGAGCTCTGGGCCGGAAATCGAACCCGGGACCTTCTTGCTGCAAGGCACCACAGTGCAGCCGTCATTTATCATCATCAGGAGCAAATTAATTTACAAATCTCCAATACGCCGATCAGACATTTTGATCTGAGGTTTTTTGGCTCCAGTGGCTTCAACTGTTGTAAGATTTTAAATCTTAAATCTAAAAACTTAAAGAAAGACGTGAAAATTTATTCAACTGAAAGTTTACAAAACAGTCAAATAAATCAAGGAGTCAGAATTCATCTGGAAATTTAGTGTGCTAAGGTGAAAATTGAAAAAATTATCTCTCTTATTAGCATATTAGCAGAAGCTTGTCCAATCTGATAGCTTTTAGTGGCAGGAAGAGGAAATAGCAAGAGGAAACTTACGATCAAAACGAGAAGCTTCATGCCACAAAGTGGCCGCGCTAACTGCTAACAACCAAGTGCTAAAAGCTAACAACTAACAGCTAAGTGCTAACGACTAACTGCTAACAATTAACTGTTAACAGCTAACTGCTAACGACTAACTGCTAACAACTATCTGCTAACAACTAACAACTAACAGCTAACTGCTAACAACTAACTGCTAACTGTTAACAGCTAACTGCTAACAACTATCTGCTAACAACTAACTGCTAACAGCTAACTGCTAACAACTAACTGCTAACTGTTAACAGCTAACTGCTAACAACTATCTGCTAACAGATAACAACTAACAGCTAACTGCTAACAACTAACTGCTAACAGATAACTGGTAACAACTAAAAGCTAACTGCTTACAACTAACTCATAACAGCTAACTGCTAACAACTAACTGCTAACAATTAACTGTTAACAGCTAACTGCTAACAACTATTTGCTAACAACTAACTGCTAACAGTTAAAACTAACAGCTAACAACTAACTGCTAACAATTAACTGTTAACAGCTAACTGCTAACGACTAACTGCTAAAAACTATCTGCTAACAGCTAACAACTAACAGCTAACTGCTAACTACTAACAACTAACTGCTAACAGATAACTGGTAACAACTAAAAGCTAACTGCTAACAACTAACTGATAACTGCTAACAACTAACAGCTAACTGCTAACAACTAACAGCTAACTGCAAACAACTAACAGCTAACTGCTAACAACTAACTGATAACTGCTAACAATTAACTGCTAACAGCTAACTGCTAATGACTAACTGCTAACAAGTATCTGCTAACAACTAACTGCTAACAAATAACAGCTTACTGAAAACAACTAACTGCTAACAGCTGACTGCTAACAACTAACTGCTAACAACTAACTTATAACTGCTAACAGGTAACAACTAACCGCTAACTGCTAACAACTAACTGCTAAAAGCTAACAACTAACTGATAACAGCTAACTGACACTAACTACTAACTGCTAACAATTAATTGTTAACTGGTAACAACTAAAAGCTAACTGCTAAAGACTAACTGCTAACAACAAACTGATAACTGCTAACAACTAACTGCTAACAAGTAACAACTAACAACTAACTGCTAACAGCTAACAACTGATAACAGCTAACAACTAACAGCTAACTGCTAACAGCTAACTGCAAACAACTAACAGCTAACTGCTAACAACTAACTGATAACAACTAACAGCTAACTGCTAACAACTAACAGCTTACTGCAAACAACTAACTGCTAACAGCTAACTGCTAACAACTAACTGATAACTGCTAACAACTAACTGCTAACAGGTAACAACTAACAGCTAACAACTAACTGATAACAGCTAACTGACACTAACAACTAACTGCTAACAATTAACTGTTAACTGGTAACAACTAAAAGCTAACTGCTAACGACTAACTGCTAACAACTAACTGCTAACAGCTAACTGGTAACAACTAAAAGCTAACAACTAACTGCTAACAGCTGACTGCTAACAACTAACTGCTAACAATTAACTGTTAACAGCTAACTGCTAATGACTAACTGCTAACAACTAACTGATAACTGCTAACAACTAACTGCTTACAGGTAACAACTAACAGCTAACTGCTAACAACTAACTGCTAACAGCTAACAACTAACAGCTAACAACTAACTGATAACAGCTAACTGACACTAACAACTAACTGCTAACAATTAACTGTTAACTGGTAACAACTAAAAGCTAACTGCTAACGACTAACTGCTAACAACTAACTGCTAACAGCTAACTGGTAACAACTGAAAGCTAACTGCTAACAACTAACTGCTAACAGCTGACTGCTAACAACTAACTGCTAACAATTAACTGTTAACAGCTAACTGCTAATGACTAACTGCTAACAACTAACTGATAACTGCTAACAACTAACTGCTTACAGGTAACAACTAACAGCTAACTGCTAACAACTAACAGCTAACAACTAACTGATAACAGCTAACTGCTAACAACTAACTGCTAACAACTAACTGATAACTGGTAACAACTAACTGCTAACAGGTAACAACTAACAGCTAACAACTAACTGCTAACAGCTAACAACTAAAAGCTAACAACTAATTGATAACAGCTAACTGCTAACAACTAACTGCTAACAACTAACTGCTAACAGCTAACTGCTAACAACTAACTGCTAACAACTAACTGATAATAGCTAACTGCTAACAGCTAACAACTAACTGATAACTGCTAACAACACACTGCTAACAGCTAACTGCTAACATCTAACTGATATAAGCTAACTGCTAACAACTAACTGCTAACAACTAACAGCTTACAACTAAAAGCTAACTGCTAACAACTAACTGCTAACAACTAACTGCTAACAACTAACAGCTAACTGCTAACCGTTGCGCCGCCCTGCAGGTCAAATGATGCTTCAATTACGTTGAATTTTCTTCAGGAAATTCTCCACAGATAATAAATTATTTCTATCTATCATCCTAAAATCTGTGGCTCTACAGACTCCTGACCTTTGACCCTGATCCACCTGAAACTGAATCAGAATCAGAATTAGAATTAGGAAACGATCATTAATCAGCAGCTGATTAATTTCTACAACAAGAACAGAGAGAAGCAGTCAGAGTCTGGAGCAGAAAGTAAAACTGTTGTTTTACTTTCACCCAGAGGTCACCTAGAGGTCATCTAAAGGTCACCTAGAGGTCAAATTTACTGTCTGAAACTGTAAAAATGAACTCGCAGCTCATTCTGCTCTGATTCACTAACAGCTAACTGCTAACAACTAGACAGGAAGTGATGCGTTCAGAGGAGGAAAAGGCGCCGCTCGGTCTCCGGAGAGCGACCCGCTCCAGTCTGCCGGGTTCTGGTGATCGGATCGGTTCTGATCTGTGCGTCTATTTCAGGAAGCAGCTTCATTTCCAGGAACCGGACTCTGTTGCTAGGCAACAAGCCGAAGATGAAATGGACACCAGAACTTTCCTCCTGGTTCTGCTGAGCCGGATGATGTCGGTCTGTCGGGTCCGCCGGGAATGCTGGGAGATGTCTGCCCGTTGCTAAGTTACCTCCCAGCGCCGTCCAATCAGCCGGCAGAATGAGGCGACGCCGCCAGCGCCGGACCACCCTGAAGGGGTCACAGAGGCAGTGGGCCAGCCCCGCCCGCCTGCCACGCCCCGGGGTTTAAATCAAACACCCTGTCAGTCTGACTCTCTGGTCAACATGCAGGAAACTCCTGACCGCCAGCGAATGTTTGTTCTTTCTTCCTTCATGTTTCATGAAACCAGAGGAAGTTTCAGGTTTCAGCTCAGTTTACCGCCGTGACTCAGCATCTGACATGAGCCTGACGTGAGCCTGACATGAGCCTGACGTGAGCCTGACGTGAGCCTGACATG